ATTTAAACAGGTTACATGTTATTGTATGCGATGGCATGGTAATTACTTTGGTAGCATGATATTTTGGTCAAACCGTTGAGAGATTTGATATTTATTTTTTGTTTTGTCATCAAAGTTATTCCCTACAACAAGTTCAAAATAGGCTAAATAACCCTATAAACTAGTGGGTATTTTTTAGGTCGGCATAATTTTGGTCTTTACTCTTTAATTTACGTACGGTTCTCTTCATTAGTTTTATGAAAAAAACAACTCAAAAGAAAACTAAAGCTGTGCTAGAGAGCATAAAATCTCAGCTTTTATTTGTAAAGATTCACTTTGGGGCAGGGAGAGACTAAAGAAGCTTCAACAACTAATATAATAAAATGAAAAGTGCTTATAGTAGACCTAAAGAAAATTGGAAAAGGCAAGAGTGAATGCCTTTTGAACCGCTAGAAATTTGAGACGGACAAACTTTTTAGATTAAAGAGTTGAGGGAAACAGCCTGTGTGTCTTACGACAAACATATGATAGTGACATGTGATTCCTTAATTATAAATTGATTCTTTCATGAGGTTTAATGGAATAGTGACTTTTTCTTATATGTAAGAAGAAGCTTATTCTTATTCTCTTCGCAGATGCATGCGTACGTAAACCAAACACACTCATTTCGATCTGTTTACATGTTCGGATGTTCCCATACTAGATTTTCGTAGCTAACTAGCTAGTGACGAGTTATATCATACGAATCTCGCCAATACCATGCAGTTTCAATAAACATGAACTATAGTTTGTGTGTGTGTGTGGTAAACTCTATTACGACACCCAATCTAGTATTTACTTCTCACATATTTTCTCTCGCTCTCTCTATATATCACGTTGTTAGTTCTCTTGTCATAGAGCACTATTCCGGAAGTCTTCTAGATCTCATAGTACAATCACACAAAATTTTCTGTAATTACAAATTCGTTCCATTCATTTTAACTACCGAAACTCATAAAGAATCACACATGTTTTATTTTTACTTTTATTTTATTCACATGTTTTCTTATTTCAAAGTAATTGTTAGTTAGCCAATGGAGATTCGTCATCTTATTTTCTCTTTATATTCAAATCAAACTCTTTGTCTAATTCTTATATTATTCGTAGACTTGCAACTTTTTAAAAAGATTGGTGTGTATCGATTAATTTTAACAACTCTTGTGGAAATCGTGGATTATAAATATGTTTTGCATGCAAATCATTCCAACAAAGAGAGTAGAGAAATTTCACTTTGTGGAGATTATGATCAACATTTGACTTTTCAGTGTTACGATTACGCCTAAAACGAACGGTGACTAAGAGAATCATTTACTTTTATATCGTTAATAACAACATCATAAAAATTACTTCGTTTCTTTATAAAAGAAAACAAACACCTTGTTGAGATTGATTGTCTTTTTGTACTGTACGTATAAATAGAAGCCTGGGTGGGGGTGGCGGAGGCTACGGTGGGGCCCTTTGTGGTATTTCCCTGTGTGCAGGAGCCAACCAAATTTAAAAGCTTTCTTTCGCTTTTCAAGAATCTCATGTGTGTGTATGCACGCGTATTCGTATACTGATACTGAAAACTTTCGATTCCAAACCTAAAGTGTTTTGTTTTGTTTTCAAGATATTTCAGAAAATGTACAAGTATATTATTGATAAAGAAGAACTTGTGATTGGTAATTACAATCGAAAAATTATTATTTAATACCGTTTGAAAAAGAAGGCTAAAACGTGAGGAGACTGAAATGAAACAAACAAGCATCATTTTTTGAGAAGTATGAGATGTCAATGTCTACTCAAGTATACCCTTTTATGTTTTAAATTGTTAATATCTAACGGTTATAATATTGATATTTCAAAACAATTAAATTAATATGATAGAGCTTATATTACGTGCGTATATGAAAAGGGAGTTAATTAGGTGAAGACCAGAAAGATAGTGAGTGGTGAGTGACTGGTAGGGACGAACGATATAGTGGTTTTGTTGATGGTGATGGTGCCCTTGACATTATTCTAGTGAATCTATTGACCCCTTTGCTCTTCAACACTTACGTTTTTATTTGATCCCCTCTTTATATTTGTGTATTTTGTCATTATTATTTCATTTGGAAATGGTATATTCTTAGAAGCATGGCGGCGTTGTCCGACACATATGCGAGTTGTAAAGGAAAATAATAACATCCACGAACATATACCAAGTCAATCAAGTGGTAAATGTAACGATTTTCGTCCCCTCAATTGAAGACTTGTATCGAATTTTCTCCACATTACATATATGATCACTGTTTTAAAAAACTAGCCTAACATTTTAGTTCATGAGATTCATTTTGTTTTTTCTAGAACCAGAGGCCTACATATATTTTTGGGATTCTTTGAAAAATACCCTCTTTGTGTTTAAAATTTTGAAAAATACCCTAATTTATTTCTGCTTTGAAAAATACACTTTTTAAATGTAAAAAGACTGTTTTGACCTAATTTAAACAAAACATTAAAAAATCATTACAGCTAAAAATTAAAAACGAAATTCAAAAATAATAGAATCAATAAGATTTTTTTCAGATAAATATAAATTTTAAAAATTAAAAAGTGGATAAATCTATATTCCATTTTTAATGTTTTCTGTAAACAAATTTTTTTTTATAACTTTATATAAACAACTTTAATCTCATCCCCATTCCAACCAAATGAAAATTTATAAATATTAAACTTTACACTTTATAAACTAATTGAAATTTTAATAGTGGATAATTTTATCTTCCATTTTTAATGTTTACATTTATACATATTTAAATATTTTTGAAACATTATATAAACAATTTTAATCTCACCCTCATTTAAACTTTATATAAACAAACTCATACTCTTAATAAAATCTAAACAGATAATTAGTATTGTTTAGTATTTTAAAATGAATAAAATCATAATCAAATCTTAATATTTTAGATTTTTTATTTGAATTTCGTTTTTATTAAATTAGTTGAAAACCTCAAATTAGGATAATTAAGTCATTTCATATATTAAAAAGTGTATTTTTCAAAACTAAAAAAAACAAGGGTAGTTTTCAAATTAAAAACTCATCAAAGAGTATATTTCCAAAATTTCTCTATATTTTTTCTAGAACCAGAGGCCTCACCTTTTTTTTTTTTTTTTTTTTTTTCATATTTCATATGAACCTACCATTTTAGAGACCCCCTATTATATGGGAAGACGTACACAATAAAATGAATATTATTTTAACAACATTCTCATAAATGAATATCAGAATATATAATTTTTTAATGGATGACTCTACTTGAAATTTTGTTGAATCCACAATTAACAAAAATTCACATATTATATTTGTATCTCAAGTACATTAAGTTTTTTTTTTTTTTTTTGTTATTCATTGGACAATCACGAAAAGTATTTCGAAATAAACACAAAATATAATGCGAAGTCTTTTCGTACAACACCGGATTGATGGGATTGGAAGCTAACCTCTTTTGTGGGAAGTGGAAGATCTTATACTTGTGACTGAGATCATCTTATTATTATGCTGAGGATGTAGAAACATTTTATATTTAGAAATCTCGACAATATGCAATATGCAATATATAGGGTGTGAATGGTTGTCACTAATAGCGAGAATATTTTAGCGAGAAATGAGTTTACTCTCGCTCCAGCTATTAATCAGCCATTCAGGTGGAAAACTTTTTAATCATTCTTTATTCTTTTACTCTGAGTACTGTTCAATAAAGGCTAAAGTTATGTGATTCTTTCCCTCATGGTTTTAGAGGTGGGAAGCATATTAACGCTGATTTCAACTTTTTCACTTTATCCTATTTATTTACTCTACAATTTGTTCCTCTCATTTACTCTACTTTCAATTACTCTCAGTTACGCTAATACGTACCATTCACACCCATAGTCAAACATGCATAGAATCCTACTTACATTTTATATTAGACTTTTTAAAGGGGGAGAAAAGTCAGTTAAGAATATCTTTTGTCAAATCATTAGTCTTTTTAAAACTCGTGTGAGATTAAATAACCTTGTTTCAAATGCATTTCTGTGGTGGCTAAAGGGCGGCTTTTCTAGCCTTTGAATTAATTTCAAAACAACGTACCAGTTAATTTAGATTATTAAAATATAATTTGCAAATTCAAAAGTAATTATTTCCACATCCATCGTTACAATTGCAGAATACAATGTGTGTTGTATATTCAACAATGGAGCACTACGAGAGGTTTAGGACCTACTTTTGTAATATTGTATATTTTTCACCTTCAACAGAAACAGCAATCGACCAACATATTGGAATCTCCTTTTAAGACATGCAATATTTATCGTTCATTGATAGTCTATTATAGCATTTTCTATTTTAATTAACACGAGCAACAAAATAAGAAAGCACGTCTACTGCTTATACAATGTCGTCTATTTGCATGTTCTAATGCAGAACTCACACAAAATCGTCCATTACTATATTTTTTTTTTTATAAATTTACGTGTTTGTTTTTGTTTTTTATAAAGAAATTTACGTGTTTGTTATAATGAGATTTTAACAAAGAATAATTATGAGAAGAACAAGTAGGTCAATCGTGTTTTTTGAGTTTATAAAAAATTGTTATTCATTGGACAATCACGATAAGTTATTAGAAATATACACAAAAACTAAAAGTAATAATCTCTAAATAAAAAAGATGCTATAAATTTACATGTTTGTTATAATGAGAGTTTAATAAAGAATTAATGTGAGAGGAACAAGAAATAAAAAAAAAGAATCTTTGCTGGCCTGCCTCTACTAATTAATACTCTTAAATTTATGAATAGACGGTCTAAAATCAATCAATGTGGTCATTGTCCATAAATTTTATATTCAAGGAAAGGCAACATGAGCAATCTCATGGCACTATAAATACAATCTCTCCGAGGCATTCTTACTCCAAATTCCAGCACAACTTCTCATCGATACAGAATCCTCAACCTTAATTCCCATTCCCAAAACAAAAAACAAAATGAACCTGTTCACTAGCATTGTGGCTGCTATCGTCATCTTGATGGTATTTGACCAAACACTGGTCACCGAGGCAAGAAAGATGAGAAAAACAGACGGCCAAAACCATTACAAAGCTGGATCTACCGATGCTTTTGCTCCTACATTACCAGGGAACAGTCCAGGCGTGGGACATAGAAATGGTAATGCCCAAGGGTTTCAAGATGACTTCAAGCCCACGGAAGGAAGAAGGTTGCAGAAAACGAACGATTTCGCACCTACTACTCCGGGAAACAGTCCTGGGATTGGCCACAAGAAAGGGACTGGGAATGTCGGAGGATTAAAGGATGACTTAGAGAGCACGGAAGGTCAAAAATATTTCAAAAACGGATCTACGAACGATTTCGCACCTACGACTCCGGGAAACAGTCCTGGGATAGGCCATAAGAAAGGAGATGATTTCGCACCCACGACACCAGGACATAGCCCTGGGGTTGGCCATGCCGTCAAGAACGATGAGCCTAAAGCCTAAAAAGGTTTAATTAGTAGTATATAGTTTATAGTTTCATTTAATACACCAAATTTAGATTCATAAATTCTTTTAAATTATGGTATACTATATAAAATTTGTAATATTTTATGATGGATTCATAATTCTAGATCATGAATAAAAAATTAGGGTTAATTAAGAATTGTTGTTCAACATCTGAAACTCTTTCTATTGTACGAGTTTGTACGTTGATATTCTTTGTTAATCTAATACTTATTATATCGTCGTTGATATGGTATGGACTATAGAAGTAATGAGCTTCTCGTTGACAAAAAAGAAGAAGTAATGAGCTTCTTGATATGCCACCAGTCCAAGAAGTGAAACTGAGTACTGCACATACATATATATTCCTTTTGTGCAACTACAGCCGAGATATTCTATAACAATTTCTTAAAAGGATATTAAGAACGTCAAACAAACAAACAATAATTTTCATTAAATAAGAGTATTCGGGGTCAACAAAACTAGAATAAAGGGAAGGTCTAAAGATTTCCAAATTGGGGAAAAGAACAGCTATTTGCCGCTTTTCACTTTCTTTTGATGGAATAAATAATGTAAAGCATACCATTTTTAGTTAATGAGAGGCAGCACATTTGTTGTAAAAGCAAGCTTAGTGTCTAGATGCAATATTTGTTTATCGAATTTCCAATGGTAAATCTAAACTAACTTCTAAAACTTTCAGTTGTTTTGTAAATTTGTTGCCCCGGCTAAGAAGTTGGTGCGTCCTAAATGGATCTTTGTACTTATACACATTTTTAAATTTTGTTTTACTAATGGTCAATGAAAATATGTATTTTAATTTTATATAAGTGAAGAGATAGTGTGTCAACCAAAGATAGAAATATTGTTCTAAAGAAAAAAATAAATCTTTGTACTAGAGACGACTTAAATTGTCTTTTTCGTTGCTAATTTAAATTTATACATGACAATTATAATTTACAGTACTACTGAATCTGTAAAGTAACGAACCCTTGTTTGCGCAATGGCAAAAATACTATTCTACCATTTAAACAATACATATATATGGCATATGGGTGCTTTTATACGACTGAGAAGCAAAATATAAAACTTTATTTTTTATAAAATGATGACGTTAATACACTGTCATATGATTAATCAGAGCCCAAACTTATGGAATTATAGTATTTTATTAATAAATTCAATCATTACGCAAGTTGGTCTACTATAGTGCTTGTACAGAAGCCTCACTATGGAAGAAGCTTTTTTATAAAGACGTACTGAGAATAAATATCATAACTATAAACTATAATAATTTAGAAGTTGATTAGTGCAATCATATTCGTGTCGACTTGTACGTAGTGCACCCATTTAATTACAAATCAAAGAAAAAACAGCCTTACTAGAATCCGTATATAGGAATATTCTTCTTATTTTGACGGCTGTGGTTGATTTCATCTCTAAAAGTAAAAGTCAACTAATATTTTGATGATGAAAGTTAATCAAGCGAAACAAATGTAATTCATACGATGCGAAATAAGTACCGAATAAATCAAGCGATGTAAAATATATGTTAATTGACATAAACATATCAACCGATGCAAAACAAATATCTGAATAGTAAAAATTACAAAAAAACATACGTTTTCACCCAATTGTTTCTCTATCTCTCTTACGCATTCTCTCGATTAATGAAATCCTTGCCATTTTATGTTTAAATTTCGTCGTTATTCTGAGCAGTTATGGCATCATGCATCTATTTGCATATAAAATTCACTTCGCTTCCTTGATCTAGCTAGATGATGATTGATGACTGAAAATCCAGTGCTGTCTTGATACCAGTGTCTGTCTCTTCGACTCTTCGTGTTACAAAGTTGATGGAGCTTGCAATCTAACGAATCACTTGTGTGATTATCTAAGAGTTACCAACTTCTATCAATCTTATATTTTGATCTCATGCATATATTTCTTAATTTCCCTGCTATACCTTTTTGGTTTACTTCCTTGTTTAACAAATATTTTCTTGATTGATTTCAAAATCAAGAAATTAATATTATATGCATTTCTTCTGTCTAAGGTGTTTAGTATATCTCCATTTTTCCAATGTTATTATTTCGATTGTTGTTAAACACATGGCATCTTATGCGAATCTATGTAGAGATAATCGAATACATTTTGCATTGGTTCTCTGATCATAATAAAACTTGATAATTTGTTTTGATTCTAAAGTTGTTTGAGGACTGACTTGTTTGACTTGAATGTTTTTATATCCTCTAGTTTGGTCCCTTTAATCAGATTTGTTTTAAGACACTAGAATCTAGTTTTTTTATGTTGCAGTCCAAAACCATTATATTTCTCCTCGTTAGCACCGGTAGTGACGTTGATAGTGTCGGATGAAACCATATCTTGACTTTTGGATACTGAGATTGAGATTGGTCATTTTCGAAGAAACATGAACCGTCAAATCAAATATTTAATCTGTTGTTTGTGATATTGTTGGCAGACAACAAATGAAAACATAGTGAACAAATAAGCTTAACGTTACAAATTATACTAGCCACGTACGAATAAAAAAAGAACAACAGATACAAATCAATCAAATCAATATACACACGAATAAACCGAAATCGAACCTCACCAAATCGAGTGACCAGCTTGTGAAATTTGCTTTAACTAAACAAACCGTAATCATCTTCAGCCAAACGGTGTGGATACAGGTGCAGGTCCAGCGAGTGCATCAGACCGTTTAATGCTTCCCATACCACAAATGATACAACCAGGCGACGAAAGTGCAGCAAACTTTGCACCACAGAGATCGCAAACATCGTAACCAATGGTTGATAATCTGCTGAGCGTAGCTGAGCATAACTGAGACGGATCTTCAAGCGGGTCGATGGATTTGTTCGATGTGCCTCTCTGTACACAGAGATCGACTAGTCCTCTTAGTTCTTCTTGCTTGCTCGCCGGTGCCTTTGAGAGAAGCAGCTCCAGCATCTGCTTTGAGTAGCCGTAGTTTTGAACTTCCATGTTTCGTTTGATTGCAGTGCGTATGCAGTTTATGCGGTGCTTTGCTAGTAACGGCAGTGAAGCTAGATGCCTCGAAAGTCTTGCCATTTCGTCCTTCGCGCTTAGTGCGCTCGCGCCTTGGACTCTTTGTAGCCGTAAGATTTCCTGCAAATGGGAGAGAACATAAATGAAGCATTAACAAGATAGTTTTCTCTGAGTGGAATCTATTTTTTTCAGGTAAAAAAAAACTTAGTTACCCGAAGGAGAGTTACGGCTATCTTGTACTGAGCGCAGATTGTGGCTTGAGCTCTGATATCTTCTCCACGTGATTGATCTTTAGCCAGAGCCAAGAATGCTTCGTCGAAGCAAGACAGTGCATCTGGAAGCTGGTTTTGTTCAAGATGGGCAAGTCCAGTCTTGAAACAAATCGGAGCTGCAGCGCCACGTGGAACCTGAGGAGAGTAGCAATCATAGAGGAGCAAAGCAACAGTGAGATTTGATCTTTACATTACGAATTTGATTCGTGATTGGCATTTACCTGTCCAGGACGAACTGTTGCAGGAGGCGATGTAGATTGTCCAGGAGGCTTTCCAGAATCAGTATTTGGAACTCCGAGAACGCTAAGATCAAGAGGCTGCGTAGAAACCGGAGCCTGTGGTGTCCCCTGAGCCTGGCCAGGAAACTGCGGAGGAACGCCGCCGTCAGGAAGCCCAACGGTCTGATACGGAACACCAGGTTGTTGAGTTGGCTGAGGAACGCCACCGTCGGGAAGACCAATATCAGGCGGAGTAGTAGTAGTATTATTTGGTTGATAGGGAACACCTCTTGCAGCAGCTTGAGCCATTTGGTCCATTTTCGAAAGATAAGTGCCAGCAGGAAGCAACGTCTTGGCGATTTCAACAGATGGGATTGTGTTTTGGAAAAAGTCTTCGGGTATGGCTCCAACAACAACTCCCGTAGTGCCCGAACCAGATGGACCTGGTTGGGGCACTGGTTGAGGTTGCTGAGTCCACGAGCTCGTTGCGAAAGGATCTACAGGAGCAGATGCAGAAACCGGAGCTGTTGTTGAGGAAGGTGGCTGGTTTAACATCTCACCCAGATCCTGTGATCCAGCACTGGTTGATTTCGTTCTACTCATTGGTAGGCCAAGCCCGTCTCCGAGTTTAAACGTTCTCGTTGCTTCTTTAAGCTTATTGACGTCCACGGTGGTAGATGCTGGCTTCTCTCGTATCCTAATTTGCAGCTTCTTAGTTTTTGGTGCACCTTCCTCGTCACTGCTGCTGCCATCACCAGCAGCTCCATACATTGTTTTCTTGAATTCCTCAGCAGCCTTCGCTTGTTCATCAGCCACGGTTTGTTTTCCGAGGGATTCCAAACCCATCATGGAACTGGATTCACCAGCAGGAAGTGCCAAAGGTTTATCTGATAAAGGTTTGCCCAAGGAACTGAGAAGCCCTCCAGGTCTAGTAACTAAGCTATCTTCTTTAATCTCCACCACATTAACTCTGCCTTTGACGCAACCCAAGTACACACCGATATGATCAGCTACTATTGAGGGGATGGTTCCATCATCGTTCTTCATGTATGGCATTACTTCCCCAGCTAGCTCCCATTTAGGTATGCTCTTCATGTCGGTTGGAGTCTTGATTTCCCAGTTGCCACCACCCCATTCTGGTCCATTTGGAACCAAACTCTCAGCTTGGAAATTAGCAAATATCCCCTGGGTCCATCCTGTAGACCTTACTCGTAGAATCCTTTCACAGTATCGTCTCAACTCAGGATCCCCATTTTCTTCTTCCAATTTCTCGGCAAGACGCCGCATAGCACAAGGGTTGAGGTGGCATATGAAAAGATCTAGCATGCTCTCATAGTCGGCTATTACCTCAAAAGTTTCCTTTGCATTATCAAATTGACCATATCTACAATATAACATGTCCAGAGTAGTTAGATGACCAAACCTTGCCAAAAACATTTCCATAAGAAAGTAGTGTAGAGGTGTAATCTAGGTACAAGGATCGAGAAGTGTAATATCCAAGCTCCAACTAACTATTGCTAATAACTGGGAACGCATTTAGGGTACAATATACTTCATATCAACTTTCAAGGTCTAGTTCAAGATGCCCTAAAGGTCTCACATATATAAAGTTCAACAGAAAATGGGGACGAATAGGACATCCAACAATATCTAATCAGAGATTCAGATATCCTGCAACGAAAGTTTACTTACTTGATACAGGCATATCCAAGCTGACGGAACCTCTGGAACAAAAGAGATGCCGGAGGACATTTTGGATAGTCTCTAGAACGCAAGAACTCGTCCTTTAAAACTGACAGAGCGGTGGAGAAACGGAGAGCCTTGATTGCATATGTACAACGTAATACCTAAAATGTTGTTCAGAACGGTTTAGTAAACGAAGACAGCTTTCCGGAGAGAGTTCAATATAAGATTTACTAATTCGACTCACCTGGTTGAACTGCGGACCTGCTTGAGCTAGAGATACAGCAAGATCTCCACATACCGGAGGGCTTGTAGCAAGAATATCGAGAGATCTTGGAGTAATTCGTAAGCTATCAAACCTGCATCCAATATATCAAGCAATATACGAAAGTTAATATACTTAAGATGGGAATGGAGTCCATAAAGATAGCTACGGAAAGTGAAAAAAAGAACTAATTTCTGTGTCCTGCATAACTTTTCTAAACTGCTTGATGTTTAAATCTGTTAACAAAATTACGAATGTGCAAAGAGAAAGAAAAAGAGGAAAACCTTGTTGTTATTTGATATAATACTTCAGAAAGGTCCAGTTTCTGCTCAAATGTTTGTTGCATCGTAGAAAATCCGATTAAAAGTGGTTCAAGTAGCCCAACAAGACAGCTCTTGATTTCAATCCCTTTCTTTTGCTTCGGGCTTATATCAGTGGGATAAGCAAGTAATAGACGGTCATTCAGGGCACCAACTAGGGCTGCATTGAAAAGAATACATTTAAGAGAATGAAATACAGTCAGTTCACCTTGAGAATTCAGAGAAGTAAGATCTGCTTACCTGCGTATGGTGTACTTAAGGAAAGAATGGTCCTCACTTTCCCATCCCAGCCAAGCAAACATACAGCAGTTGTTGTAGAAAACAGTAGGGCAGGCCCAACCCATAGAAGAGATCTAAAGTTTGCATAAGTTAAGGTTTTTCTCAATAATCAATGAGCACACATCTAAATAGTGTTAACATATAGTGCACATGTACTGGAAAGAAAAATTGGAAGTTTATAAGGATATTGATGGTAGTCCTCTATCATATTTTGTCGAACTGCTCGCCAATATATCAAAATCTGCAGACACCATCAGCACCCTTTGGGTTGTTAATATCCCTGCCACATATCCCCGAGGTGTTTCTTGCCATTGGACCTGTATATTTTCTTGCCATCAGAAAACGTTGATTGACCATAATTTCAGGAACAACTATATACTTAACTCTTTGCGAAATGAACAAAATCACTTTTCGACGGAAATAGAACAGCTAAGACCAAACATCATCAGTCATTGGGTAAAGGAGTAAAACGACTGCATGTCATAGAACAAAACTAAATACCAAAAACGTTTATTTGATTGGACAATTTCTGTCCAAACTGTTGGTAAACAGTACTCAATATAATAGATGTTGAGTACTGTTTACCAACAGTTTGGACAGAAATTGTCCATTCGGGGTAATGGCCATCTATAACGCATTTATTATATTGAGTACTGTTTACCAACAGTTTGGACAGAAATTGTCCATTCGGGGTAATTGGACAGAAATTACGCATGGCCATTCGGGGTATAGTCAATCATATTGATGGCAGCAGAGCCTATACCATCATTCAGCAGGTCATTCATTTTGTGTAGGGAATTTCATACCTGAAGAGCTATTTCATTTTTCTTCAACTTGATTGACTTTCGTCCCTCGCCTTGTGTTGAAATATAATGGCCATCTGAAGCTGAGAGACGGTAGCCCTGAAACAACTTTGCCAGCCCCAATTGGGTTCCATTACAAGCAAACAACAGAGTGGACTCTGTAATCAAGGGTGGCATCAGTTAGCATTGGCATAATCCCAATGATAAGTAGTTCTTAAGAATGAGATTGTCAGATGCAACACCTATCGGTGTGGAAAAAATGCGATCAACTTCTGTCTCAAACAAAAATTGTTGTGGACCCTGAATGGCAGAAGGATTCTCCTCCTTGGTTTGGTTCTCTTCAGATAACAAATTCTTCTCATTCTCTTCAATTGTGGTAAGTTTTGGGAGAATATACATAGACAGCCCTGTCTTATCCTCGTCAAGAATTACAAATTGATCGTCATTTTTGCCGATAAAGGCAGCATCACAGCCTGCAGGTAAACATATAGCTTTGAGATAGTCCTCACTTGTACTTTTACGCATTTGGAACATGGGAAAACAAAATGGATACATGCCTTAAATAATTCTAAGCTTGATTGTTAGTCCCTAGAGTAAACAGCATTAGACCCTAGCATCAGTTTCCCAGTGTAAAGAGTACCTACTGTTTTATAGCATACAATGTAGCCTTGGCATATATAAATGATCGGATGCAGTATGATACCATATATTTTTCTCGAAACCAAAAAATTCTGAGGCGGGATAGGAAGTTCTCTAAACAGCAACAAGGGAATCCAATGATCAGACAAACCTTTGGCAGTGCTTCCTTTGCTGTTAGGCAGCTGAGAACCTGTATTTTCCCAGTAAAGCACAACTTCATTCGTAGCACCACTGAATTCGTAGACAACCAGAAAGAGGTGCCTTTTACGACTGTAAACAATGTGTTTCGAGTGATACTCCACATTTCCGGGAATCTGAAACGAAAAAAATGGCTGTAAGTAAAAATAAACCATAAATGAATTGAAATCACATAATATCAGATATTACCGATGTGTACAGCTTCTTGTAGATGCTGTCCGTTCCAGAACAGAGATTGTGTGCCATGAGGTTAAGGCCCTCAATATAAAAGGCCCTCACGGGGTAATGAAGAACCCTATTTGGCTTATTGAAGAAATTCAGCTCCAAATGGAATGGCTGTAAGAGAATCCAATCAGTCAGGCATAAATCAGCTGATACAGAAAACAAGTTCTAAAGAGCAGTTACGTGCCTGGCAAACAGGAATGTCTTTAAGTTGATCCTTTGTATCCACGACGGTTATAAGGGGTAACCTTGATATTGGAGCAGTTTTGGCATGGCCTTCCATAAAATGCTGTATGGATTGAGTCAGAGACATAGATAAAAGTCGTTCCAAATAATAAACAAACGTTATGTGAAAACAAAAAGGTAAAGCAGCCATACACTGTACAGGAATGCCTTCCGTGCAATATCTGAAATTGTTAGCTGGCTCTGGCTGCAGAAAAGTAATAGAAGTATGAAAAACTTGAGTCATTCGGTACGGAATTCACGGCATATGATTGTAACATTTCTTTAGGAAATTCCAGACTGATTGCATGAGGTGATATCCACTTACCCCTTGTGATGATGCTCCTGTAGCAGAGATTGGAGTTGATGCTCGGCTAAAATTCCAGAGGAACCCATTAATGAAAGCTTTTCCTTTAGAACAGAAGCTGTTAATCACCTCAAAAGTTAGAAAGCAGGATATAGACATTAAACAACTCTGGATGAACCCACAACTCGTATTATTATCAGAGGATTAGTGCCTCGAGACACATCCGCACAGTTATATGGGCAAATGAAATGAATGCTCAAATTTCACCTGAAGACCCCCTAGCACTTTGCAGAACTGCAAATAGCTGCTTCCTTCCTTCTCTGGTCTGAGCTGCTCGATTTTGAGTGTTCTCATTACTGGGCAAGTTCTGAATAAAATCCAGTATGTCAGAGACACAAGCTACACTTCTACCTAAGCGAGGAGTGACAGTAGGAAGTAAAATTAATATTCTTAACTGCGAAAATCAAAGCTGCTAAGTTAAGCTTTGGGTGAACTTCTAAAGTTTTGATTCGTGGTAAGGGGTAAACAGCTTCCCCGCCCTGTTGAGAGAGAAGTCGAGGAATGTCTATTGATTCCATAGCTGCAAAAAAAGAAGAAGAAGATGGTGCTACACTAAACATTCACAGTTTCCAAACAAAACCATGCTAATCATTCCTAAATTGGGTAGGAAAAGACATTTCACCGTCTGTGGATCCGCTTACCGGCAGGCTCAAAGAAGTTAGTTTGAGTCGAAGGTCTGTTGGGATTTATTATTACTCGTGTCTTCCAGACTTGAAGAGATCCATCCTTGGACACAGTGACAAGTACACGTAACATAGGCAGCCAAGAAATTGAAGTGATGGCCTGTGAACCCACTTGTGTACTGCAGTGATCCCAAAAGAAAACAAACAATGAAAATTACGAGAGAATAAGAAATCCCATCCCAGCTGACAGAAAACTGAAAAGCAGCGAAAATTCACTTACATTCCAATCATATTAGGTCTCTCAGTTGAAACATCCCACGCTAAAAGTGTACCCCTCCTATCTCCAACAAAAATCCATTCTAGTGTCGGGTGAAAAGCAAACGAACTGGCACCGATGAGTTTAATAGTATTATCAACTGCAAGATTAACACAGATCTGTTGTAAGTGGTAGCTAATACTCATGATAACCCCAAGCCAGAATAACAAAGACAACGGAGAAACGTGAAATCCTCATATACTCACGCTGTAGTGTATAATGAACAGCATAAGTATGAATGTTATAGGCTCGTATCAACCCCTCTGCATATGCTACATACTGAAACAACACAACATTGAACAAAGAAATTAGCATAAGTGCAACAAAACCAGATTTCCACATACTAATATGAAAAAAAAATGAGGATGTTGTATTATCATACAAGAACAGGAAGTCGAGGATGGCAAGCAATGTTCACAATTGGCTTCTTCAGGTCAGTCTTGATTTTCGTCGGAGCTCTTCCTCCTTCAACAGTTCCAACAACTACAGCAACGAAAACATAAAAAATGCAATGAGAGAAAGAAACATAACACCTAAATCTGCTAATATAGAAGAAGTAAAACCAACCTGTCACACTCATTCTTTTAGGGAATCCAAAGAACACAACAGGTTGGAGCGGCGTCACTGCAAGATGAACTTCTGTATCGGATGAAATGTGCTCACTCCTCTTCTCCGGTGAGTGCAAGACGCAAGTCTGCTCCGTCTCAAAATCACAAGACCTAATTGTGCAATCCTAAACAAGTAGTATTCACTATTCAGTATTATGATCTAAAGAAACTCCAAATTGAATAAGAGAGGTTTCAGAACAGCTTTATCAACCTCAAGAATGGCAACAACGGCATTGCTGCTAGTAGGACTATACAACATTCTAACAGCTGGAGATCCAATGTCGATGGACGCAATCTTACATCCGGTTAATGCATCAAATTCTGCAAACCGATAGGTTCAACATCGAGCATCAACATCATACGCTAAAGTCAATAAGTTAAGAGAAGCAAAATCGGTGAATGTGTGGAACCACGATGATAATCGGGGAGATTTATTTACCCATGATGTAAGAGCCGACGGCGACGGCGATTACGGCCTGCGTCGGGTGAAACGCCGCCGTGTGAGGTTGAAGCGGCTTGCTGACACCGCGACCTACGTGGCGCAGATCCAGATGCTGCACCGTTGCCCACTCCATGACTGCTCTCTTCTCTTGCAAACTAACGAGCAATTACGATCTAGATCGATTAGAGAGAAACAGAGGAGCTGGGAACACGAACACTGATCTGATATTTGAAAGATAAATTCAAAAAAAAGGGAAAAGGAAAATTCGCCGAGAGCTTGCTACTGATTCATTTTGCTTTACCTGCTCGTAGATCCGTGTGAGATTACGAGTTCATAAATTTGTTTCAAATCCGAATGCTGAGCATACGAAGATGCGAAGGTTTTTAGAAAACAGAGTAAGATCGAACAGGAAGATCAGAAAAATCAAAGGATTAACCAGTTGGTAAAAGGTAGAGGAGGAAGAAGAAGAACATTGAACCGAAATGTCCAAAATAACTCGGGTCGGATGTCTGGATCTCTATTCTCCGGGTCAGATCTTCCGGGTGTTAGATGTATATACTACGTCGTTTATAATTTCAATCTCAAACGTCCGAAATTAAGTTGTTGGGCTTTGGATAAGCCTGATAATATTTATGGGCTTCAGGTGATCGATGAGAGGTACAGAAGTCTAACTTTATTTTTTTTGTCAACAGCCAATTGTTTTTGGTTTTACACTTAACTATAGCTAGTTAGTATATTTTTTCTTGAACATTAGTTAATACTACTATAAATTGGTAAACACATATATCAAAACACAGAAATCTCTTCGTCTAAATATGCTAAAATGGGAGTGGAGATAATTGATAATTTTCTTTGCCTTTCTCTAACCATCTTTTTAAATCCATTTAATTCCTTAACAGACAGTCATAATAGCCAAGTGTAGTTTGTATGTTTTGCACATAACACTATTAATTTTCTATATAAAAATTCACTTTTAGTATACTATTATCGTTAATGATCTATTTCCTAATAATTTTCATAAAGCACCATATGTGTACAAAATGGATCAAAATAATTAAAGTAAAAGACGAATACATAATTTATTGGTGTAGTACTTATAAACAAAAGGAGAAAATGAAAAAAAAAATCATTTTTAAATTACTGTTATTTGAGAATTGAGAGTCGTGGAATAACAGTTACCAACATTTTTTTTCTTTTATTTTGTTACTAAAATTAATCAAATTTTTATAAAAGATTTTCTTGAATTTATCTTAATATTTTGGAATTCTTTTGCCCCAAATTAACAAAAACAAAACAAATAAAAGAAAACCAGTCAATCATACTTACCGTGATCACATTGGTCTCTAGTTGGTCCAGATGTTGGTGGCTTTTGCCTACCAGCTTCTATAATTTTTTTTTTTTTTTTTTGAACAACTCAGCTTCTATAATCATCATGAAAAATTCAACATCATAATAATAAATGAAACAATCAAAAATATCAAATATCAAATATCTCAAACAAGTAAACGGAAACTTAATAAAAAATAAAAATGAAACTTCATCTTTGGAGAAAAAAGTCCATTTTAGTACACCATTGTACCTCCCTATCTTCTTTATCAGTGAAACAATAAATCTGATATAATGTTGGTTGGTCCTTCTTAAGATACGCAGCATTTTGATGTTTCAGAATCCAGACATTTCAAATCCTCTCTAGTGAACAATGTGTTTTGATTGACTTTTTCCGATTCAATATTCCTAAACTTTCTAATAGTGCTGCAAGATACTTCACCTGTGTTCAAGAAGAAGAAATAAAAAAAATGGACGAATGATACATATCTAAAACTCTTAATCATTGTTTTACAGATTTTTAAAATTCGAAACTGATGACCGGAATAACTTGAATAACAATTACCAAATAATTAACAATATTGTAATGATATTAGTTAAATGATTTAAAATATTAAAATATCCCTATTTTCATTCTTAATGATTTAAAATGTCCATATTTTTATTTTTTTATTCACTTTGATTTGTAAGAGATAATGTTGACATTAACTTAAAATTCTTATTTGGAGATAATACTAACGAGATACCGAATATTAACTTCGTTATTCTCATACCAGAAAAAAAACTATGAATCCTCCTTCTATATATACCCGATCAAGTCGTGTAACCATTTGTTTATACGCTCATCATAAATTTTCCTCATAAACCATGAAAAGCTCCATTGTCCTCGTGGCAGCTTTCCTCTGCCTCATCGCTTTTCCGACCACAACCGTCGGAAAAAACATGAGACTCTGGCCAAGACTCGTTGAAGGATGGCCACATCCGTCGGAAACCGCCAGAAACAAGTTGTTTATGAACACTGAATTCAGCTACGGCGACTCCAAAGTCTGGAAGTGTACTTATAGCAACGGATCTGCTCCAGCCATTTCGATTTCTCCCTCAACTCCGTCAACTCCATCAACACCGTCTCCTTCAACTCCAACACCGTCGCATCCCACTCCCAAAACTTCTCCTCCGCCGCCGCCAACACCCTCTCCTCCGCCTCCTACTCCCAAAACTTCTCCACCGCCGCCAACACCCTCTCCTCCACCTCCAGCTCCCAAAACGTCTCCGCCACAGCCAACACCCTCTCCTCCGCCTCCAACTCCCAAAACGTCTCCGCCACCGCCAACACCATCTCTTCCGCCTCCAACTCCCAAGAAATCTCCATCTCCGCCGCCGGCAACACCGTCTCTCCCGCCTCCAACGCCCAAGAAGTCTCCATCTCCTTCGCCGCCAAGTGATGATGATTCGTCATCTCCTGCTCAGCCATCAAATCCACCTCCGGAGCACCATCACGGTCATCATCATCATCAGCAGCAGAATCCGTGGGAACACTACAACAGTTGTTGGAGAAACATGGGACCTACTACGAAGTGTCATGGGGAGATGCAGATGAGTTTCTTCACGAAGTTGTTTCAAGTGTCTGACTATTGTTGCAATCTTGTCGTCAACATGAAAAATGATTGTGACGACTACATGTGGCCATTCTTCGCTGATCCTTACTTTGTCCCTCTTGTTCGTTACACTTGTCATGTCTCCTACTAGGTTTCTTTTTCTTTATTTTTTTATGTTTTGTTTTTCTTGGTTAGGATTTAGGGTTTTTCTTTAATGATTTTTTCTCTTGTTTGGGTTCGTTTAGTCATGCACTATTGTTGTCGTCTATATCTTATGGACGCCTCTTTTGCCAAGTTAATGAATAATATCGGTTTCTTTTATTTTTAGCTTGTTTTCGTTCTCGCAAATGTGGAAGAAATAACTAATTACGAAACTGCATCAATTACGTGAGATCACATTAAGAAACAAATTACTGGACTTGAAAAGAAAACAGTTGCAACATATTGATTTCGGTGACTAATCCTCAATAAACATCAAATTATCCATTCGAAAGAGTGTGATCTTCTAGTTGGAATTAAGCGAATATTCGAGGAACGAAATATTAAGAAACGAAAGATATCACGATTTGAATGTTTCTTTTCCTTTTTATCCGTCATTTTTTTCTTCTTGCATGGCAAATCACCTAGCTATCTTCATCCAAATTTTCGCTTTAAAATCATATAATCTGCCAAACAGAAATGGATATCGAAATTTCTTTTCATGATTTATATATATATTCTGTGTTATAAAGAAAAAAAAAAACGGGATGGGCACAACTTAAATAAATCAAAGACTTGATCGGAAACAAAATTATTTGAATTATCGACGAAACAAAATTGTTTATCACAATATGATATATACTAGTACAACAACAGATATAACTTCTTGGTTAACCCAAGTGTTTAGCTGCTAAACTAGCTTGTTAATCGGAACTCCTAGTTTTGAATATCCTTTAGTATATTCGAAAAGGTATCCTTAGACAGATGATTGAAGATATATTCAGTCCATTTTTACTACTTTCCACCTGAAAAATCTATATTCGTAACAAACACATGATATACACGACCTTCTTTTGGTGATTTTTTAATGACCTTTTCTATGTATCAAACGTACTTATCCTCACGAGATAATTGCAACAAAACTGTTGTCTAGAGATAATTGCTACAAGATATTCGTATAAAAATTACTTTAAACAAAAAAAGATTACGCGACGGTTATTTCTCACGAGATAATAATTGCAACAAAACAGTTGCCTAGAGATAATTGCTACAAGATATTCGTATCACGTCTATGCATAATTCCATCATCATCTTTTCATAAATTTTTTATATATTTTAAAATCAAGAAACAAAACTTCTATATAAACAGATCCATTCTCACACATTTTTACTTTATTCACCTAGAAAAACATTATTTGTTTCCATCGCCTTAACCATGATGAAGAGCGTCATAGTCATCGCAGCTCTCCTATGCCTCGTCTCTCTCCCAAATCCAACCTTCGGATTACACAAACCATGGCCTAAGCCGTCCGATCTAGCCAACCACAATGGCAACTTCGGTGACTCTAAGGTCGGTTGGGCTTGCTCCTCCTCCTCCCCAGACCCCAACGCTCCTCCTTCACCACCTGGCTCGTTCCCTAACATCCCAAGCATCCCGGGAATCCCACAGATTCCGACCATACCGATTCCGGGAATTCCACAAATCCCAATACCAAACTTCCCCGGAATTCCACAAATCCCGGGCATACCACACTTTCCGGGTTTTCCTAATTTTCCCGGACCGATTGGTCCGTTCCAGTCTGTTCTGGTGACTCAATCTGGTGAGTTAGAGAAGTGTTTGACCGGAGATAAGTCTAAAGTAGAAGAGAAATGTTTCTCGCAGATATTTACGAGTTGGGCAGAGAACGATTTCGCTTTGGACAAAGAGTGTTGTGAGATCGTTGTGAACATGGACAAGAAGTGTCACAAGCATCTTCACAAGATCTTTAAGAGCCCTTTCTTTGCTCCTCTACTCCAATACTCTTGTCACATCAAGCACGCCAAGAAGAACTAAGTGCTTCTTTCTTAGGCGCCTCCGTTTAGAAAATTTCATTCATTTTGTAGTTTTATTTTAGGGTTTTGTTTTCTTTTGTCCAAGTCTCATGGACATCTCTTGATTTGTTCTTCGTTTAATTAATAAAATAATAGTTAGTATTGATTTTCTTTTCACCTATGAATTTATTTCCATTGTTTAATTCGCCGTTTATATATATAAAAAAGTTGACAAAAAAAAAAAAATATATATATATATATATATATTAAAAAAAAAATCGCAGGATTATTTCTTATCAATTTGTCCTCAAGGACAGAAAATAAAGTATGGGCTATTGTATATAAGATGTTGATGCTCTATGATAGCTCTTGTGGGCTTTAACCCATGAGGTAAATAAACCGGCACCTTACTGTAATACTGTTTGTCGTTAATTGTTCTTAGCATGAAAAGAATCACCACCGATTGATAAAAATAATTAATATAGTACGAACTATGACAAGAAGAGTAACATATTTAAAATGATTTTGTTCATTCCAACCACAGCTACTGACCAGCTCCTTTTGGGACCTCTTGAATCAATGCTTGTAATTGACTTCATCCCCCACAGCTAAGTAGAACACGTAACTGAAAACAAACATCAAGTTTCCTTCTTCTTTTATAAATAAAATAAATTTCTTTTTAGTGACGGTGCGGGAGAAATTGGAAGAAAAAATCATTTCGCCTATCTTATTTATGTTAGCAAGAATATGATGAGAATGACCAGACATTATGTTATTTTCATAAGGGTTTTTTTCATAAACGGCTAAATGCGGTTTTTAACGTTTGAAAGTAATCGTTTGATGTTATGTAGTAAAGACGCGCTAGAAAGAAAAAAGGAGAAGTAAAGACGCATGCAGATTTAGCATTGTGTTTGCATTATGTTATATGGTTTTGTAGACTTAGTTTCTATTTTATTGAAAAGTTTGAACACTGTGTTTGCGGTAGGATAAATGTAGACTATACTCTTTTGGTAGGAGAAAGCTTAGTACTTCTGAGGTTGATTTACATTAGCACAATATCCTGTAATCCGAGCTAATTATATAAGCTAAGTATCATATATATATATATATATATGTATATATATATGTATATATATATATGTAAGATGTACTTGCATACGTATCGATTTCTAATTAGGGTGATCGAAGGGCTCTAAAAGTAGCTAGAAAGAGGATGGGGCAAAAATTGAGAAGATTTAGATCAATCATTGAGGATATATGGGATACTGACTTCCCCATTTCTGCAGGTCCCATATATTTAATTTATTTTTCCAAGTTTTTCCTCTCCCTTATCTGCAAGAATCTATCAACACAATCCTAATCTTTCACAGTTCATGTTTACAACCCCCATCTAGTATAACGTATCTAATGTGATGAAATATATAAAGCAAGAGTAACGTTATCGATAGATATAGATAATTCGTTAAATAATTAATAGTAATGTTTTTTAAGGCTTAATTAATAGTAATGTTATCACGATCCCAATCACCTGATATTCATTTGTTACTTGTTAGCTTTACAAAAAAAACTAAATGCATGTACAAACATGTGACCCTATATCTACCTATATGAAGAAGAAATCATGCATCTAGAAACTTCGGTGAAACATGGATTGATGGAAATAAGGAAAGATACATGCATATGTCATATTTGTATGTATATGTTGGATATGCTGATGAGCTGTAGACAGAAGAGGAAAGGGGGCAACAATATCCAACTTGCAAGACAAAAATAAAAGCCAAATCTATACACAAAATCAAAAAGGAGAAATATTATTATTCCCCATAAAAGGAGAACAAATGGACTCAACATATTTAATAAATTTATTATCTTTTTCATAAGTTTTCTCTAATACTTGTAAGTAATATATATGTTTTATATCACAAAGATCAGATAAAGTTATTCATAGATAAATTATGTTTAAAGAGCGCATCAAATTCTTACATCGGTTAATAAAACAGTATACAACCCACGTACAAAGTTTTTGTATATTCTCTAACTATGCGATGAAAGTCAAATTTATCTAGGATCCATTTAATTCGTTTACAACGATCAAATCAAGAAAATGTAAAAAATAAATATGTGTATGTGAATAGATACTATCTATCTTGACCAATAGATCGATAGAATCCTCAACCACTTATAATTTACAAAAGCCCACCTTAGTCTTTTCGAAACATCGTTGGAGTCTAACAATTCAGAACCAATTGCTACCATTTCTTCCACGTGACATGTCTCTTTGTCTAAGAATTCTACACTATACGTTGGACACCATATCTTAGTAAGAACACACACACACACACACACACACACACACACGTATATATGTATATATATAATTGAACATTAAATTAATAAAGGTATACACGATATTTTATACTCTTGTTAAAGCGTAGTAAATTGAAAATGATTATTATATTGAAGTAGATGGATGTATTATATTAATGACAAAGAAAGGTCTCTCTATTTATATTTATATGTGTGTGTATGTGTGTATATGTAGCAACCAAAATTTATCTAGTCCACAAGAATATTTCTCCCTCTCTCAACACTATCTTATTAAATAGAGAAAGAAAGAGAGCTTACAGATTGGCCTAGGTTAAGGGGGCAGTTTACGTCGAAAACTTAAAAATTAATATTTCACTTTTTTAATAGTTATATCCACAATTCAAAGAGAATCTGGTATATAAAGAGAAGGTGGAGGATAGAAAGATCACAAAGAATCGATGATGAGAAACGTAGGGAGTTCAAGCTCCGGCGGAAAAGGCATAGCGGCGGTGGTCGGAGTCGGACCAAAGCTTGGCCGCTCCGTAGCTCGGAAGTTCGCACACGAAGGCTACACCGTCGCCATTCTCGCCCGCGATCTCGGTTTGATTCTCTTCTACTCTCTTTTTTGCTTTTCTTTTTATCCATTTCTCTCTACCTAATACATACACTTATACAACTAGCAGATTTCCATATATTTGAGTATATAGCTGTTTTCTTTTCTTTTATGTGCCCACGGAATTTTCCTTCTCTATTTATCCTAAGAAGATAAAGAGTTTGCGGCAGTTTTTCTTTTCCAAAACGAGTTACTTTAGAATGATTTTTCTGGCTTAATTTAAAATATAATGCACACACACAGTGTATATATGATTCATATGTCCTTTTTATTTAAAGGGTGCATTTTAAATTTAAATGTAAATTTAGTTAAAATAAAATTTCAGCTATTTTTTCTTGAAATTTTGGGTTCATGCATCATCCGTACACCACTAGGGGTTTGACTGGTAAGACATGGTAAATAATTGTCTAACCAAAACCAGCTGTTTAAGGAAGTTTAGTGAAAAAAATAGTTAGCTAAACTAGACTATTTGTGTTTTTTCCCCCAAAAGTTGCTGAAACAGTTACACTTTCATCATACATCCTCTTTGCCGAGGAAAATATTTAACTATTTCAATTAAAAAAAAAGTTCTATATTTCATTCCTCTAACTATCCCTTAATTCCTTCTCTTATTTTTGTTACTACTTATCAGTGCCGCAAACTTATATAAATTTTAAAATATTCCTGCAGGTAGGCTATCTAGAGTGGCGGAAGAGATAGCAAGAGAAGAGAAAGCACAAGTGTTTGCTATAAGAATTGATTGTGCGGATCCAAGAAGCGTAAGAGAAGCATTCGAAGGAGTATTGTCGTTAGGGTTCGTTGAGGTTTTGGTGTACAATGCTTATTCTTCTTCTTCTTACACAAATCACCATCCCACCTCTTTCACCCACATTCCTTTCCAATCTTTCCAAACTTCGCTCACCGTCTCTGTCTTTGCTGCATTCCTCTGCGCACAACAGGTATATATTCCTATAAACAAATTACTTTATACAAAAATTTGTTGTTATATATGATCGAAATAATCTATATTATTCAATCAAAATAGAAAAGCTCTAAGTTTATATATGACTCCTAAAACATTAACAAGTGTTATTTTGCATAAATATGAGTTGAAACACAGATTATATCTTGAGAACCATATGTTAATAGGTTTTCTTGACAATGATTATCAAGGTGAATCAGAAAAAAAATAGATAGTGTCAGTAATTTTTCATATACTTTTTTATTGGGGTTTGAGCAAGAGTAAGTTGGGTATATAATTAACTTTTAATTACCTTGTTTATTTTCCGTCAGTGAGCTGTAAGCATATATAGGTAGTGTACATGTAATACTGAGTGATTTCGACATTGATTGATTTAATCATTGGTTGATGTACTAGCTGTGTATAATTTATTTCTAAAATTCTGTTTTTATTTTATTTTATGTGATTAAGCTGTAGTATGTACTATGTAGGGTATATGTAATAATGAGTGATTTCGACATTTTGATTTGCGTTTTTTTATTAATATTTTTCTAGTTTTGTAAGGGTTTGCATTTTATTTTATCTGTATAAATTTGTTACCAAAAGGTTATTCCTGGGATGATGGAGAAAGGGAAAGGAACCATACTCTTCACCGGTTGCTCGGCGTCTTTGAATGGCGTTGCTGGTTTCTCCGAACTATGTAATTTTCTCAAGATTTTATTACTACAGTTTATTAATCTCTTATAATTATCCTTTTCATAAAGTGAACTAATCACTAAAGAAATATTTGAAAATTGGAAAAGGCTGTGGGAAATTTGCATTGAGGGCACTCTCTCAATGCTTAGCAAAAGAATATCAAGCTTTTGGAATACATGTGGCTCACGTTATCATCGACGGTGTGGTTGGACCTCCAAGGTATGTAATTTATATGATCATTTTCCTTCATTTTTATCAAAAAAAGTGGAAAGAAAGAAAAAACAAGAAGATGAAATTATAACCACAATAATATGATATCTATCCGAAAAGGGTCTTTTAACTTTTTAGTTTTTATAGCTCCCACAAACGACAAGATTCTGATCCAAACCGACAAGATTCTACCTCAAATAAAGAAAGGAATTTTTCAAGAATCGTAATTGTAGTATTTATTTTTCCATCAAACTTTAACACAAAAAGGTTTTAATTGATTCACAGTACACACATTTGTGGTTATTTATTTTTCGCATATGAAAACCATTTCGTAGAATCCTTACCCTACTACTGCATTGTTCTATATTCTCGTAACTCACGGTCAAAGATGAAAAAAAAGTGAAGAACTTTGAATAGAGTCCCCACACCACAACGGTCCACATGCTATTAATTATAACATTAAGCATTTGAAGATTTTAACGATAGTTAATATATAGTCAAATGGATTTTCAGAGAAATAAACATTGCTCCTCGAGGAATGGTCGCAGAGCACTCATTCAACGCAGGAGGCGAAGATGGAGAAGGAGAAGGCGAAAGCTCGGGAGTGAAGGGAATGGATCCTGACGTATTGGCTCAAACATATTGGTACCTCCATGTCCAAGACCGAAGAGCTTGGACTCACGAACTCGATATCCGACCATCAAACACAAGATTCTAGTAGTACTTAAAATATTATTTGATTTGATTCAATGTTCTTTGAGTGCTATGGGTACGTGTGATTATTTTTTATAATATATGTTTATTCAATGTATTTGGAGTGTGTGTATATACTATATAAGTACTTAAAAAGGTTTGGTTTTATGATTGGTGTGAAGGATCTATCAATCTTGTATCTTAATTAAGTACTTTTTTCGTCACTTTTTGGTTTTTAGTTGGGGATGACGACTTGAGTCTTTATGGATGATGTTTGGTCTTGTCGGGTAAGGTTTTGATATTTTCATGTGGTGTTCAAGTTTAGAGGTTACAAATGACTTCGTGTTCAAATTCAGGACACACGAGAGGATCCGACAAGTCATGTGAATAGACATAAGATACGATCACAAAATTAACAAGGGACCCCCTCTCCTCATTGGTAAAATATAAAAACAATCGTCCTTTTTAAGTGTTGTCACGTCATGGAAGACTACTGTTATTATGTTTCTCGGGGTCCATTTATATTCACAGAAGAAGGTAAAAAAACTTTGATGATGATGATCATGAAGAGAAAGAATATCAATAACGAGTCTCTGAAACTTTGATGATGATGATCATGAAGAGAAAGAATATCAATAACGGAGTCTTGAAACTTTGTAGAATAAAGAAAGAGTAATGATCACTAATAAGTGTTTGATCAAGAACACATTTGAGCAAGCATTTGTGTTGTTGTTTTGCCTGAAGAAGCGAAACCAGACAAGGAATAATAGTACATTACAACTCTATAATGAAAGATTTCATTGTCTTCTCTGCGTTACAAATTTTAGACATTTTTGGCATAAACTTAAAGAGCATGTCTAGAAACAGTATATGATTACCTTAAACAAGAGATAATCATTGATAAAACTGCTTCCTTGCTTCTCCTATCTTTTATCCTGAGAAGCCGTGAAGAAGGAAGTTATAGACAGAGTTAAACGCAAACACAAAATGGTTACTAAAGAGAGCTTTTTCTCTTAAGACAATGGAACAACAACAAGAAAGAAAGAACAAACAAACTGGTTGCAAATTTGCAATGCTTAGAAATGTTTGGCTAATCTAATTGTAAGGGCATTAATTAAGCTTAATATGCTTCTCAGCTACAAAACATGAAGAGTTAAGATAAAGAAATGTTCATGAGTCAACCTTGTTTCCCTAAACCCAAATCTCAACAGAGATTTAAGCAACATTTTCCAAAACTTCTTACAGAAACTTAGAACTCATCCCAAGAGAATGCTTATTGCATAACTCCATTCACATTCACATTCTAAATTCAGCTATTTCCTCAAAATTAAGCAAAAATGTTCCTTATAAATGAATACTTGTTGTTTATCTACAGAAACGAATTTATTAATCAATCGTTACAATTAGTGAAATTCCATAGAATGCTCAACAAGAAATTGATGCCAAAGGAAACAAATGAAGATTTATAAACCCTAAAGTGATAAACCTTTGAGGAGGCGAGTGACTTTATTCACAAGAGAGTCTTCCTCGTCATCATCGCCTTCCTCATCCTCGTCATCTTCGTCATCAGATTCCCAATCTGAATCCGGATCCGTTGAATCATCTTCGCTCAGTTCGCTATCATCCCCACTGATCGTATAAATCCAGATTCGATGAGTTAAAAAAAAAAAAAGATTTATCGGAAATGAATTATCTCGGAATACGAAAACTACCTCAGACTCCGATCGACTTCATCTTCATCTTCTTCCTCCTCCTCTTCACTACTCTCGTCATCGGTATCGTCTTCTTCATTTTCTTCCTCTTCTTCTTCTTCTTCCTCATCGGAGCTATAGATATGGATGATCTCCTCCTCGTCCGCCATGGAAATTTCAAAAAAGCAAACGGCTTTTGATTTTTCTTGTTTTAGTAAGCTTTAAAAGCTTGTCGGAGCCCCGAGACTTAACAACTGGATCCTCGTAATTACAGTTGGATCCTTTTCTTAACTAATTTCTGTTGGGATCCATAATTAAATAAACAAAATCCGAAATGCTTTATTTATTTATTTATTTCATCAAGTAAAGAGAAAATTGCAAAAGTTGAACTTGCTATTAATAACTAACAAAAGAGTTTTTGTAAATTTTGAAGTGAAAAATGTATTGAGTTGTCATTTTAACTCAAATCACTCTAAATTTGAGTTTAAATACACTCCCTTTAGATGCTCTAAGTCTTCAATTTTTCAATTAAGAAAAAACAAAAAAATGAAGAGTGAAATAATCGGAAATATAATAATAAGGTTATGTCAAAAAAACCAAATCTAGAAGTAATGTCAGAAACATCAAATGAGTTACCAAATTTGGAAAAACATCATCCTCTCTACAAAACTAACACACACATTCTCCTTTTTTAGCTACACTCTTTCTTCTCAGCTTTCATCACAATAAGTCAAAGCCATATTATATAAACCAATCAGCAAAGTTTCTTGGTCCAAATCACATAACATATTCAGATACTTTCTAAAACCCCTTCTAATGAGCTTTGATCGTGCGGCTAGACACACCATGTAACAACTTCACAAAACCAAGAAAACTAAGCTTCCCATCGGTATGCCTTAGCCAATCATGAAGCACTGCGTGAACCGGTACAGATGGACCAAGACCAAGCTCCTGAAAAACAAATTTAAACCGGAATGTGTCAATAACCAGGACATTTTTCAAAGACTTTGAAAACAGAGTTTTTTAACTGTCTAAAGAACACACTACACTTACCGAAGCGAGTTCATCGATCATGATTGGTCTGTTTCCTTCTTTTTCGAAAAGCTCATAAGCACAACGAGCGTGTTGTTCCCATCTATCAAGAGCTTCTAGCTGATGTACACTCAGTGCCGCTGCACAAAACTCTTCAAAGTCCATTCTTCTATATTGAAGAGCACTCAGCTGTACCGATATAGTCCACACAAAAATGTCAAATTGTGCAATTCAAAACACTGAATTCTACAATTTAAAGGCTCCTCTACTTACTTGTGATAAGAATTCAGGAATACGCGAATCCTTCATTGCATCTGTCGCCATTTTCATCAGAGCCTGAGAAAAACAGAGTTTGAGCCATTGTCAATGTCATGTTCATGAACGTAACCGAAGCACATAGGAATATAAAAGATTGAAGCTTTACCGATTTGATGTTCTCTAGACTTATGGTTCCGTTCTTGCTAGGTTCTAGTAATGCAAACTGCTCCCTCAGATAGAAAAGTTCATCAACCGTAAGTGTCTTCGACAAAGCCTGCAAGAAAATGGCCAACGATAAGCAAATAGCAAGAAGCAAACATTTAAGTAGACAAACTGAAAAAAAAAAAAAACAATCCACGTACCCTTAAAGCAGCTTTACGAAGAGAAGATGATCGTAAATAAGCTCTCATGAGTTTGAAAACAAGAATATCCAATGGAACCTTCGCGTCATTCGAGTCCTTTATCCATGGATGACCTGAAAACAAAATGGCAAAAGATTACAACTTTTTTCCACATTCATGCAAAACAATTTCTTGTATATGCATTTCTACACTACACTTACTTAAGGCTTGAGCAGCTGTTAATCTTCTACGCGGGTCTTTGTTCAGCAACCGCTTCACAAAATCTCTCGCCTCTGAAGATAACAAAGGCCAAGGAGTGTCGTCGAAACTCGGATCTGCTTTTAGAACTGCACGGAAGATTCCTGATTCCGTCCTAGCCCAAAACGGTCTGCTTCCACACAATAAGATATAGACAATCACACCAACACTCCAAATATCAGCTTCTGTGCTGTAAGATCTATGTAGCACTTCAGGCGCTACGTAGTACGCACTACCAACAATGTCATTGAGCCTCTCATCTGCAAAATGAAATTGTCAAAAACATATACACAAATGTTGGTCTCGATGTATACAATTTGAGTGGCTTTACCTGGTCTCACGTAGTCTGACAAACCGAAATCTATTGCTTTCAACTGAGAGGTGTCTTCTTTTGAGGTGAAAAGAAAATTCTGATCCAAACAGTAAACTTCAATAAGTTAGCCAAGAACATCAAATGATTAAGTAGAATTGTAGAAACAAAGAGCTTTTCCTCACCTCGGGTTTGAGATCTCTGTGAACAACACCTTGAAGATGACAAAACGCAACCACATTCAAAATCTGTATCATAACAGTCTTTGCATCTTCCTCTGTGTACTTCCCACCTCTGCCACAGAGAACAAACACTATCAAGCTCAATGAAACATATTTCTACTCCTGAAAATGGAGAATCTCTTTACCTTGAGAGTATTCTATCCAGAAGCTCTCCTCCTTCACACAGCCTAAAACAACAAAGACCAAAAACACTTGTTAAATCCTTGCCAATGCTGATTTGTGTGAATTAAAGTCTGAGCTAAAAAGAGAGCTTACTCCATCACTATATACACATTCTCATGATCCTCATATGCATCATAGAAATGAGGAAGATTATCATGACCAGACAAAGCTCTCAATATCTTCACTTCCCTCCTCACATCTTCAATTGCAATAGCCGTCGTCATCTACAATCAAACCAAAGAATAGCAGAATAAATCTAACAATTGAAAAGCTTTGCATCATCTCTAATCTAACAGATCTAAAGAGACTATCAGAAAATCACAAACCTTTGCTTTGGGGATGACTTTAACAGCGACTTGTTGTCCTTTGTTATCGCCTTTCTTAAACTTAGCAGCACAAGTGTACCCAAAATGCCCACGGCCAACTTCGTCGCCGAGCTCGTACTTGCTCGAGAAGCTCTTCGAGAACCCGAAGCTTTTATCCAAACCAACTCCGCCTCCTTCCGCCTCGCTGCCTTCCGGGATCGCCGCCGAATTCGGCTTCACGGAGCCGTGCCGTCTCGCTAAAACAGCTCTGATGTGTTTAGCCGGAGACGGAGGAGGGAACGGCCGTTTGAAGAACCGCTTCGGCGTGGAGTTTCCGCTGGGGGTGTTGGGCGCCGGAGATCTCGCCGGAGTTTTTTTGGAGAAGAAGTAGTGAGCTGGACTCGGACTGTAAAAGGGGAAAAACGGCGATTTCTTCCCCTCATTGCTCGCCGCTACACTCTGGTCGTCGTTTTCGCTAGGGTTTGCTCCATTGACGGAGGAGCTTGACGAAGGAGGAGGCTTGACGGATTCGGAAGCCGGAAGAGGACTATTCCTCGCCGGATTTCGGCCGGAATTCGGAGAATTCGGACTAGGATGAGGCTTCGAAGTGCAGAGACCCATCGAGAAGCTCTCACATCACACAGATCAGAATCTCAAGCGCACCATTTCGAATCAAACAAGCCCAGAAAATCAAAATTCAAAATTTCAAATCCTATAAACGAATTTTTGTTTTTTCTCTGCTCTCGAATTTTATAACTTGGGAAGTGGATTTTGCTATTTTTACTTTTTTTGTTTTGCTTCTTCTTCTTTGGAATTGTCTCCTTTGTCGATGGCGAATTCCAAAGCGAAAGATTTGGATCCAAGAGAATGAGTTAATAAGAGAAACGACGATACGTTCGCTTTTTAAAAAGAAAATTACATTGAACTACTCTACTAATTACAATTAACAAGTGTTTTAAATCGGTTAAATAATTACTAATTACTTTATTTGTTACGCAGCTTACGCTACAAGTGAACAATACATCGTCGTATTAAGTATTTAGTAGTAACAAATTTTTATTTTTTCTTTAGTGACATAATAAATACGTGTATATAAAGAGACAAAGACCGAACTAGAAAACAGGAGAGTTTGGTGAAATTTTTCCTTTTAATTAGAGTGTGAATATTCAGTCTTTGTTCTTATATATGTATAACAAAAACAACAAAGCAAACTTTGTGAATGTTGTTCATGTATATTGTTTTGTGTACTTTGTAATGAATATGAATTTTTGGTATTATCAAAATCAATCATGAATGAATACAAAGTCTAACAAACTTCATTAACGAAAGTTTTTATTTGAATATGAGTTGTTTTGGAAGAGAATTAATTGGACAATTTAATAGACATTGACAGGGTACTGTATTATTATTATACTTATACATATGCATTTAAAATCCTGCCAACTCTTGAATGTGCAACAAGATTTCAATCTAGATAACCTTTTTTTTGGCAAGGCTGCTGCTAATAGTGACCAATCATAATTTCATATTAAGGATTTAACTCGAATCAGCATTCGTTTTTTCCATTCATTGAACATATTATCTTTCTCTCTTATCATCTCAGGTTTTTTTTTTCAACTTTGAATGGAAAACTGAACAAACAATATTTTATTGATCATCCAATTAACATTTTTGTTAATATGAAATAGAAATATACAACAAACCAAAAAAATATGAGAATTGAGAAGAGAGAGGTGCAAGAAAATGTGATGTAATAATAATACGAGATCGACGTAAGAAGGAATTAGAGAGGTGGTGGGTAAAGTGGGACCCATTTAGAAGGGTGGTGGTCCAGCTCGTTAAATAACAATTAATAAGTAGAAGTAGCAAATAGTGAATATAGAAGTAGGTTTGTTCCTTCCTTAATTAACGCTATTGCCATTTTGGATTATGTGGTGGGGACTGTGTTCGATGCTTCCTCGATAATAAAGCTAACCTTCTCTATTTTCTCTCAAGGGTATAATCGTCATTTTAAGCATATAATTACTTAACTAATTTCCGGTCCACCTCATAATTCAAAACACGTCAGAAATTCAATTCGCTATGGTCAACGTCGTTAGCTTCTCACGTAGATTTTGACAAAATTTAAAAACAATCTTAGCGTTGTTATAGGCGGAAGATTATGATTCAAGTGTGTTGAGGTTCCATGTAATTAATTAAGTAACCTTATTATAAAGAAAAGACAATACAACGTGAGACGGAAACTAATGAATGATTATGTTAAATATATAGAAATGTTCTTATGAGATCAGTCATGATGAAATGAAACTTTGCTTGGTTGCGTCCGACATATTGAGAAGCCAATTCAAATTTTGCAGCTATCATTTGTTTTTCTCCACTTATATTCGTATTATTAAATTTCCGAATGCATGCACACGTAGTGGTAAACATATTCATTGTGTATCCCTATATGATGTGTGTTTGATGAATTCGTATCCGCTTATTATAATGAACATGATTTTGTAGCGGATTTGGATACATTTTCCTTTTGTTTCACTCATCTAGATGAAACCCTTGAAATTAACAAGTTCGAATTAAAGTTACTATTTTTAGTTCTGTGATGAGGACTAGAATGTTACTCTTGGTTTAGGTTTGAGCTTGTGATTGCGGCGTTTACGGTTTTATATACTAAATATGGCCACTCTTTAAGTAGAACTAATGTTTACTTTTTTACTAAATACCGTTTATTATCGAGAAAAAAAAGTAATCGGTTGCGTTTACAGTGTACTCTTTAGTTAAGGTTATTGCCAAAAACTAAAATGCTATATAGTTTTGTTTAGAGAGAATGTATACGAATATAGTATTTCATTAACTTAAAACCGTATCAAGAAATGTGATACTTGTGTGTAATATACGTGAGCAGATCACATAGTCAATGTTACTAATTAGGGGCACGAGGCTTAACATCCCATGAACCTTTACTGGATTTATTTATTTTTATAAAAAGTCACTGGATATTCTTGGAGTAGTAGTATTAACAAGATCCAAGAATATGAATGGACTTTTTACCCTTTATTTAATTTTGTGCCTCCTCATCAAAAGACGAGATGATAAAATAATTCTAGTCGTTATTCCACTAAGATCCCAAAGTCAACTTCGAAAATCTTATGATATATGGTGTAGGGGAATTATATAAAAAGTGATACATAGATTATGATTTATCGCATGGTGCACCTCAATGATAAAATTATGGCCACCCTTTTTATTATCTTCTTCCGCGTTTCCGCTCTACTCCTACAATTGTTCTCCTTCTATTTTGAGTCTTAATTTATCAATAAAATGAATTATCGTTAATTTGTTTCACAATCTTGAAATGTTCACGTGATCTTTAGAACCATATACTTTTCATTCTAGTTACAATATCGGTTTTCTTGAACGTGAATATTTGATTACAACATCGTTGACAATTGACATACGTATTACACTTTTCTTAAAAGTAGCTAGTTAATAACTTTCATTAGATGCAATTTCTGTTTGACCACTATAAGTTTCCTCAAATTTTAATTAAGACTACTACAAATTCGAGAAACTAGTATATAGACTTCAAAGTAAGAAAAATAAAAAGTATCGCACTAAAAGGTTTTCAATGATACACATATTTTCCTAATGATGACAAATCATGGAGCTTAGGAAAATAACACATCTCCACTTTGCTCAACTATTTATGTTTTTGCCATTTTTGCCCCTAAGCCATTGCCGCCAAAATGAGAGAAAGAGAGATCTTGGGGCCAGTGGTCAAATGGACTCAACAAACGTACCTTTCTCCCTTTTCCTTTTCGATAGCGATGGCGCCAAAATTAAAGGTAATTAAAGGGGTAATTAAGTAAAATGTTACTATGTCTCTTTCTCAATCTCCAAGAAGAAGTCACATTTTTTTATGATCCCAATGTTTTACTGATTTGAAGGGTTTAGCTAATTTTAGTTTTTTAGAGAGTTCAGTCAAGTTACTAAACACTTCATTGTTCAATGTTTCTATCCCCAAACTCCAACACTAGTGTATTTGAGACACCACGATTTGGTCCCCATCAGAATCTAATTTAATTTCCAATATTGATTCTTTTTCAGTGTTCAATGTCACGTACTGAAAATAATATAACTTCAAAAGTATTTCACTACGTTGCAGAAAATTAAAATTAAACATAAATCCTTTAACTGTACGAAACAGTTGAGATTAATAGCAGCTTACTTTAGCAAGCATCCTTCCAATAACTGTTTTAATTTGGGCTAACCACAAATTTATGTGTTAAAGCATAAGTAAATCTTAAAAAGTTATGGAGTTACCAATTACAGAAATGCTCTCCAATGGAAGAAAGAAGAGTATCAAAACCTAACCAGAGGTTCTGTCACCACCAAAACCGGACTGTAAGAAACCGGTTTGGTCCAAATGAGTCACATCGCCCCAAACTTGGATCGTCCATTTGTCTCCGTCGTACAAACGGAACACATTCACCGATGTGTTGAGAATCTTTTCAACTTTCCGTGCACTTGGACGAGCTCTTTCGTAGAGAGATCGAATCACACCTCCATGACTCACCACCACTACTCTCTCACCTTCAATCATCACCACAAGCAAGTAACAAAAAACAAAAAAATACTTAGATACAGTGAAGAACATAGGGGTTGTGTAGTATTAATAATGATTTGTGAGAAAGACCTTTATGTTTGTCACCGATTCTCTGTAACGCAGATGTACATCTGTCGTAAAGCTTGTCAAGACTTTCTCCACCACCCTTCATTCATATAAATGAGCAAAATTAGTTGAAATCAAGAAACTAAACATCATTTATATACTAAGATTCTTGGTGAAATAACTATCTTACAGGAATGTCAACGTCTGTGCGGTTAGATGAAAAGGCCTTGTAAGCTTCAGGGCGGATTTTGGAAGCTTCTTGATACACAAGACCTTGCATGTCTCCTAAATGTCTCTCTCGCAAATCACGATCAGTAAGTACCTGCATACACAATTGAACAACGTGCCAAGAATTCAGCTTCACAGTGATAGCTAAAAACAGGTTATTTCAGAAACATAGAACCATTTGCGAACAACTTAAACTACAAAGAGAGCTTAAAATTTGGAAACTTTAGGAGCAGATTCATAAAAGTTGACACATTAAGCTTATTTTATAACCTCAAGATTGCCGCATTTAGCTGCAATGATCTGAGCGGTCTCAAAGGCTCTCTTCAAGTCAGAAGAGTAGACATAAGATATCTTTGGCTCCTTTGATAACCTCTCCGCAACCTTTTTAAAATGGCATCATCATCATTGGTTACAGAAACAATCAAAAAGAGGCAAATTTGTTATAAAAAAAAAAAGTGGAGAAGACATACTCTCTCTGCTTGTTGTCTTCCTGCATCGTTTAATTCAACATCTAAATGACCCTGCAACACAAAAAAAACCCATAGATTTTGCCTTACAGTGAACAATCATTATAAGTAATACGAGATGAAGAATTTCGAAAATTTCTTATTGGCCATATTCAATAACACAAGATAGTTCGATAGCAACAAAACCATCACGCATTTGAAATTAAAGAGTACCTGGATTTTTCTCTCCGCATTCCAAGATGTTTCTCCATGACGAACTACAACAATCTCTGCATATTCCTCATCGACGGAACTGAGAGAAATCCAACAGATAAACGGCAAAAACAAAAACAAAAATCGATCGGGTCAATGGCTTGCACTGATAATCGACGGCAAATAAGGAAATTAAGACTAAGAGATTAGAGATGCGAAGAAGGAGAAGCATACTCGAAACTTGATTCCGCCATGGGAGATGCTCTGAAATCGGGTCAATGAGCTTAGATCCGGCGACGAGAAATGGCTCCGGAGATGAACAACGGTAATAGTAATTTCAGCCCAATTGGGGTCCATATTAGCGATTTCATTAACATCTTTACGAGTGGGCCTAAACTTTACTTACCTATCTTTACAAACGATCCGAATAATGTAAAAAAAAGTACGGTAAGTTTTTACATTTGGTATGGTCGAGTCAACGAATCCAAATTTACTAAGATTTTAAGTGACATTTAACAATGATTTTTCAGATAAACTTTGCATCCAATTGGCCAGATAACAATTCACCGACCTACTAATTAACTAATTATCGTTAATATTTTTTACAGTTATGCTTATCTTTATCGTTTGTGTATATCAAGCAAATCAAATTTATGATATTTTCCCCTATAATATTGCTAGACTTTGATTACTTTTGTAATATAAACTAATTTGCGTACGGAATTGTACGGTTGTACGGTTGGTCAACTTTTAGATCCTCTTCAAAGCAAACTTGCAGTAAAAAACACCAAGAAAGATTTTGGAACAGGATTGCTTAAGTAAGTCTAATTAAATCTCTTTTGATTTTACTTTTTAGTTTCTTGTATATTAACATGCCTTGTTTCATTGAAATTAAGATTAAAAAGCGTGTTCTACAAATCCGGTGATCTTCGCTTATAAGATTCATCTCCTTATACTTGAGGTTTTGTTTTCATCAACATATATAGAAAGCTGATACGCCGTCTCCACTTGCTTATTCGGTTAGTTAATCTCAAAAAAATTATAATTTGTTGTTCTTAGGTTTGAACGAGAACCAAATTTTGGTTTAATTTCAGTTTTTATGTCTTTCCTAGGTTCATTTATTCTTACGGTCCATATTTACACTTTTTTGACAATCAACTAGTTACGTGACAAAACAAACAAGAATAATTTCATCTTCTAATTTTTCCACAATTGTTTTCTTTTCTTGAAAACACTATATAATTTTGATTTTTTTTGTTCGGTGGTCGTATTACCTTTTGTTACTTCATAACCTAATTTCAGCTCAAGAACATAAAAAATTACTTCTTCTTCTTTGACGATCTTCTTTTTATATTTTTAGATGGAAACAACACCGACACCATGCGCGGCTTGCAAACACCTAAGGAGAAGATGCACACAAAACTGCGTGTTTGCTCCTTACTTCCCCGCGAGCAAACAGGACAAGTACTTAGCCGTCCACAAGGTGTTCGGAGCAAGCCACGTGGCTACATATATCAACGATATCCATCCAAGCCAGAGAGAATATGCCATGGACTCACTCGCTTTCGAGGCACAAGCTCGTATCCAAGACCCGGTCCATGGCTGCTCTCGTCTCATTCACAACCTCCAATGTCGGCTTAAATACCTCCAGGACCAACTCCGAATCGCCAAGAACGAGCTCGCCTCATACAACATCGTCCCTACACAAGTGCCACCGCCTCCGACTACTACGTATCAGCAAAACCCTTACAATCCTAATTATGTCACTCATTTAACGCGTCGAGAGCCTCAAGGTTTTGAATTAATGCAGCAAACGTTAGAGAGGCAGACGCAACAAAGTCATGGAGCAATGATTGTTTGTGACAAGAAAGATACCGGCAAAGATACGAAACAACGCGAACATCAATGATCATGAAAATAGTCTTGATGATATTTAATGTCAACCTTTTATATAAAAAGTTCATGGTTTTAGAAAATTGTGATTTATCATGATTTTTAATAGAAGATGTATGATGTTTTTCTTTTGTGTGCGTATGTGTAGATATTGAATGTGATAATATTATTAGGGATAAATGTACAAGTATTTATACAGAATACCAACTTAACCTACGGTACAGTTAATGACTATTATCTCCTTGTACTATGTATATACATTTATCCTTATACACCCCTTCAAGATGGAGGCACCTTGATGACACCAATCTTGGAACACGCACGATGGAACTGAGGGCGAGGCAGCGGCTTAGTGAGAGCATCGGCAAGTTGATCGTGGGTCGAGACATGAGAGACACGGAGCATGCCAGCTTGGATTTGGTTTCGCAGAAAGTGGTAATCGAGCGCTATATGCTTCATGCGGGAGTGAAACACAGGGTTGGCACACAAGTATGTCGCGCCTATGTTATCACAATAGATCACGGGAGCAGTAGGAAGGGTGACACCAATTTCAGACAGCAGGGAGCAAAGCCAACGAACCTCAGAGGCAGTGTTTGCAACAGAACGGTATTCTGCTTCCGTAGACGAGCGTGCGACACCGCATTGTTTCTTTGAGCTCCATGAGATTGGATTCGAGCTGAGATAGACAACATGGGCATTAGTAGAGACATAATCATCTCTATCACCTGCCCAATCAGCATCAGAGAATGCATGAAGAGTGAGTGGAGACGACGCAGAGAGAAAAACACCATGTGTGGGTGTGCCGGCAAGATAACGGAGCACACATTTAGCGGCTTGCCAGTGCTCAGTCGTAGGCTTGTGCATGAATTGGGAGAGGCGATTGACAGCGTAGGAGATATCCGGCCTCGTGAAGGCGAGGTATTGTAGACTCCCAACAACAGAGCGATACGGTGAGGGATCTGAAAGTGGAGTACCTGTGTGAATGGTAAGTTTGGGATGGACCGGGAGCGGAGTTGCAACAGGCTTGGCATCAAGCATATTGTGTTTAGCGAGGAGATCCACAATGTACTTGTGTTGCATAAGATGGAGTCCTGCTTTTGTCCGTGTGGCTTCAATACCAAGAAAATAGAAGAGATCCGACGGGTCTTTGATGGAGAAGCGATCAGCAAAGGCATTAAGAACCAGTTGAATGTCCTGTTGATTATTTCCCGTGACAAGAATATCATCAACGTATACAAGAACATATGTGAGAGTGTTACCACAGTGTTTGATGAAGAGGGAGGCATCAGCGAGGGAGTTAGTGAAGCCTGTGGTGAGTAGGTGTTGTTTGAGTGACATGTACCACACACGCGGCGCCTGTTTCAATCCGTAGATCGGTTTGCGGAGACGACAAACATAGTCAGGGCGATCTTTGTCGACGAAGCCCTGTGGTTGGGACATGTACACCTCTTCTTCAAGCTCACCTTGAAGAAAGGCGTTGTTAACGTCAAGCTGTTTAATGGGCCACGACCGAGCCACCGCGACATCGAGAATGGTCCGAATAGTAGTGGTCTTGATTACTGGACTGAACGTTTCAGCATAGTCAATACCATACTGTTGGTGGAAACCTTTAGCGACAAGTCGGGATTTGTATTTGTTCAAAACGCCAGTGGGAAGAAATTTCGTCTTAAAGACCCAGCGATTCCCAATAACATTCTGAGACGGATGAGGTGGGACGAGATCCCATGAATGATTCCGCATCTGAGCATTGTACTCATCGGAGGCTGAGGCTCTCCAACGAGCATCCTTCATAGCTTGGGCAATCGTTCGTGGTTCAGACGAGCGATTAGGACCTGCAGCAACAAGAAGATTGAATTTTTGTTTGGGCTTGGAGATGTTATTTTTGGATCGAGTTTGCATTTGGTGAAGATTTTGAGGTGGTTCATCAGGGACATGGATTTCTGGTTCATGTGGCTGGGTGATTTGGGAATTGACGGATGTGGAATCCGGTGAAGAGGGAGCGGTGGAGGTGTGTTCAGAGGAAGGCGGCTGAATCGTCGGTGACGACTCATTCTGTGAGAGAGCAGTGGGCTCAGGTGGGGAAAGGTTGTTCTGGGCCTGGGTGTTGGGCCCATTTTGAGATGGAGCAGTGGGCTCAGAGTTGTGAGAGGGAGGAGAAGAGGATGAGACACAGGGAGACGATACCTGTGGGTGTGGCGACGGAGCGAGCGGCGACGACGGTTGTGGAGAGTGAAGGTCTGAGCCGGGGGGTCCGTTAATCAGGCAAAGGCGACGCAGTCTGAATTGGAATCGGAGTCACAATCGACGGCGCAGAGACATAGTCGACATCACCATTTGCGCGAAAATTTAAGGATACCATTTTAGGGAATGGGAAGCGGGCTTCATCAAATCGAACATGCCTGGATGTATAGATCCTTCCAGTAGGTACGTGTAAGCAGTAGTAGGCACTCTGAGTGAGAGAATAGCCGAGGAAGATACACGGCTGCGAACGATTTTCAAGTTTGTGGTGAGTATAAGGTTTGAGCCATGGAAAACAGAGACAACCGAAGGCTTTCAGCTTGTCATAATTGGGCGCAACTTGGAACAATTTGAAGAACGGTGACTGGTGAGAGAGCACCGGTGTAGGAAGCCGGTTGATGAGGTAGACTGCGGTGGCAAAGGCAAAGGGCCAATACTCAAGTGGGACGGCGGCAGTGGAGAGGAGAGTGAGACCGGTTTCCACCACATGGCGGTGCTTCCGTTCAGAGACACCATTATGTTCAGGTGTGTGTGGCGGGGAGGTGAGGTGAGTGATGCCATGAGTAGCAAGGAAATCACGAAGTGCAATGAACTCACCTCCATTGTCAGAGAAAAGAGTGCCAATCCGCTGATGGAACTTGTTCTCGACCAATGCTTTGAAGGTAACAAATGTTTGTTTCACATCGGATTTTTGTTTTAGGGGGTAGAGCCAAGTATAGCGAGTGTAATGGTCAACAATGACTAGGTAGTATTTGTAGTTATCAATGGAGAGGATTGGTGAGGTCCAAACATCGGAATATAGATAGTGAAGGGGATGAGTAGAGACAATGGTGTTTTCAGAAAATGGAAGTTTGTGGCTCTTATTAATAAGGCAATTGGAACAGGACAAAAGTTTTTGTGAGGAAGCAGAGACAGGAAGGGAAAAAGTAGAAATAACATTGTCTAAAATTGAAGAAGACGGGTGACCAAGTCGATAGTGCCACAGGGACGCAGAGGCTCGTGAATTGGTTGCAGTAGAGAAGGCCGCAGCTTGAGACTGTGAAACCGGCCATTCGTAAAGCTCATTCTTAGTTTTGCCTTGGAGTAACGGAACCCCCGTGCTGAGATCCTTCACCTGAAACGAAGCAGGGAAGAATTCCACAGAGACTTGATTAGTATTGCATAATCGGTAAACAGAGATGAGATTGCGATGAATGTCAGGAACACAAAGGATTTTATGCAATTTTAAGTCACGAATAGATGAGGGAAGAGTGGTTGAACCCGTGTGAGTAATAGGCAGAGTTGAGCCGTCTGCAACAATCACATCATCACTACCATAATATGGCTGGTGAAGCGAGAGGTTTTGGAGGTCAGATGTCATATGGTGGGTCGCCCCACTGTCAAGGAGCCACTGGTTCGGATCATAAGGAGATCCAAGAGCAAGGTTGGCACGCGGCTGCCATGGACGGACAGCGGTGTTGGGAGGCGGGTTGAGAAGCCCTAGAGATGGCGAAAGACGTGGACAGCGTCGTGCACTATGTCCCTGGGCATTACACAACTGGCATTTTCCCAAATAAGGTCTAGGAGTACGAGAGTCAGACCTGTTGGAATCATTGGTGTTGTTGCGGTTGTTGTAGTTGCGATTGTTGTTGTTGGAGTTGCGGTTGTAGTTGTTGTTGCCAGAGTTGCGCTGATGAGCATTGTTGGCAGTAATGGGAAAATGAGGCGAGATGGTGGTGGAGGAGGCAGACAAGAGTTTACCCTCATGGTTTAAGAGACGTTCGTGAATCTCCGTGAGCGTTGGGGCCGTATCCTTGCCTTCAATTTGGTCAATGACAGACTTGTACTCATCGGGGAGTCCCTCGAGGACAAGTTCAACTTGATCTTCGTGCTCCATGGGTTTGCCAAGGATGGCTAGCTGGTCAAAACGAGTGGTGAGACCTTGAAGGTAATCATCAATCGTCTTGTTCCCTTTGGTCCAATTCTTGAGTTGGGTCTTGACTTGGCGAATATGCCCACGACTTGGTTTGGCGTAAGTGGATGCCAAGGTGGTCCAGATCTCAGCCGCAGATTTGGCTCGAGACACAAGTGGCTGAAGCGCCGTGGAGATTGCACCCAAGAGAGCGCCGTAGATCAGTCTGTCTTGGCGATTCCAGGCAGTGTACAACGGGTTGACAGTGGTGACATCGTTAGCAACGACAGTCATAGTAGGGACAGGGGAGGACTCGTCAAGATGAACCGAGAGAGCATAGCCATCGAGGAGAGCATGGACTTGTAAACTCCACATGAGGTAGTTGGTGGAGGTTAGCTTAGAGACACTAGAGAGATTGATGTGAAGAAGGGTGTTTGTGTTGAGTGAGATGGTGTCGGCTCCAGGAGCAGAGGACACGTTTTCAGAGGTGGACATAGTGGCGGCTAGGGAAAAGATTTGAAAAAGAAAGAAAGAAAAATTAGGTTTTAGGAGCGTATTGCTCTGATACCATGTAGATATTGAATGTGATAATATTATTAGGGGTAAATGTACAAGTATTTATACAGAATACCAACTTAACCTACGGTACAGTTAATGACTATTATCTCCTTGTACTATGTATATACATTTATCCTTATAGTATGCATATGTGTAATTACATTGGTATTGATTTGTTGGTTTACACTTCACCAGGAGAAGATATGATCATATGGTAGCTAAAACGAGGTTATTGAACCTTCTGCGAACAATAAACTCAAGCTTGCCGCGCGTACATTAAAACAAAAAAAGAAGAAGTATGACTCATATATAAGTGAGCTCTACTTATATTTTACCTGTGAGATTCGTGAACACAGCACTTTAATCTAATCACGACTTAAAAGTTTCATTCGCTTGCTTTTAATGGCAGAAAAATTAGCCTTTCAAAAAAGATTTCGGTTACTCTATAGTCTATATTGTTGATTGTAACATTTTATCTCATTTTCTTATGTTTTGTATTTCATAATTTCAATTATGTATTATTTTCTTGTCACCGTGCTCACTTTTTTCCTGTTTTAGGTTCAACATTCCTTAGAGCATTTTCAACCCACTATCAAATTTTCCCTCAAACACCATTTTAGTGTGAAATTCATCTCCAACCCATCCTTATAATTGACACTAAAATGAGGGAACACTATTTTTTCCCTCATTTATAGTGTAACTTTATTTTTCCCCTTATTTTGATGTTGATCTTTTTATTTGCATATTGATCCTTCAAATTGGTTTCTTTTATTTCTAACTTAAATAAATTATAAATTTCATATTTGTTTTTTATTTTTTCTTAGAATTAATCATAAACATTATTTTAGAAAAATGACATAATTTATATTATACAAATGGATTAAAATTCAGTTTTATCCATTACAAAGTAAATAATAGATAACTCTAGAAAAGTATATAAATGAGAAATTATTGAAACTTTTTTGTATCTTTAATGAAGTAATGTAATTAATTTGTATATAATAGTTTAATTTAAATAATATAATAAGTTAGGGCATTTTTTTTGTAAAAAATAAAATATGTGGAGTTAAATTGTAAAACTTATAAAATAAAAGGTTTTTGCAATAAATTTAGATTTAGAATATTCTCAGAATATTTCCTTTTTAGTGTGAAAAATAAGGGAATACATTGGAGAGAAACACAACACTATTATAAGGGAACACTAAGGTTGTAACTGGTTGTTCTTAAAAAGGATGTGCTGAATAAAATGAGTGGAATGGAAAAATATGGGATGATCAAGAAATGGAATAAAAAATTGGAATAATGAATTCCATTCATCCCATACATTCATCTACCATTTTGACATGGAATAAAAGGGATAAATTTAAAGAAGGATTTGTGCTTTTTTTTCCCATCTGAAAATGGAATACATGGGATTGTTTTTACTTTTTATTCATAATAACTGGTCAATTTTCTATGGGATCTCATGGAATGATGCATTCAGAAGAAATTTATCCCATAAAAAGGCATTCTAGTTGCAGCCTAAAAATGATGGAGAAAATGATGGAATACATTGGAGATGGTCTTAGAGATAAAATTACTGAAACTAATTAACAAAATCCGATGTCGTCCAGCGGTTAGGATATCTGGCTTTCACCCAGGAGACCCGGGTTCGATTCCCGGCATCGGAGCTTTTTTATTTTTCTTATTCAAAATTTGGGTAATTTGGTTTCGCTACGTCATCAATCTCCATACTCACATGTGCCACTCGTGCAATTTTTTTTTTTTTTTTTTTGGGTTAACTTATAAGAGGATGTTGAGTCGATTACTCGATTTGATCTTCTTCTTCTTGAAAGAAACCGGAGTTGGAAAGAAGATCGTCGGAGCCATTACCGATGACTTTGGCTCACTGATCTAGCTCACCTCCTCACAAAGAAAAGTCAAATCATGCATGTGATTTGGCCGATAACCTTTTCTTAGCCCATCAATAACATAAAATAGCCAAATTAAACGATTTTGTTGGAACTTCGCTTATGAGTCAACTAGACTTAACATATGTGAGCTTTGATATCATATAATATAATGGAAGAGTTCAGAAACCATGAAAGCAAGGAGCAAATAATATCCGTATCAACTGACAACTTAGCAACTCCACAAAAGAAACCTCACTTTGTTCTCTCTACTCTTTAACCAATCAAAGGACGACGACTTGACACTTGGTAGAGCCTCTTGGGATCTCGAGGAGTCTCTTGAGTGTGCCATTTTCTCTTGAAATATCAGAACTGATACGTACAGTCAGTTTCTTGAGGATTACAGAAGTCTGTAGGAAGTAACTTACAAGCATCAATTCTTCAGGAAATCCCCAGATAGAGAAGTTGAAATTTAAAAACTCGAGAGATGATCGCAAACACTGTGGCACAAATGTAAAACTGAGTCGATTCACTACTCTATATTCACCATTGCATACCTGAGGGAGGAGGGGAAAAAAAAGGCTCAATGAAAAGAATATGAAAAAAAAAAAAAAAAAAAAACTTATATAGAGGGGTTTAGGCAGATGATCACCAAGCTGAGGGATTTCAAGTTTGGGAAGCTCTTGAGAAAGCTTGGTAACGATTGAAAAGAGAGTAGGTCGAGATGGAGATGCAAAGTGGACACATAACCAAACTGAGGGAGCGGTTCTAATCTCGAGTGGTGACAAATTAGCTACATATAGAAAATAATTAGGTTAGAAAGTTTCATGATAGGGAAATGTATGTACAAGAGAAACATACCTCGAAAGTGTATGGACATAATGTCATCTCTGTGACCTTGGAGATCCCGGAAAGAAAACGGCGGATGCTACTTCTCTTCGATGAACCTGTTGCTTCATCCAGAACCTTGAGACCAAAGGTGAGAGCGAAATCCACTATGGCGGCATTGGAGTCCATATTGTGTACTACAAAGCTTTCTGATAAGTAATCAACGACGCTCAAGAAGCGTAGCCGAGGAGCATCAACCACAAATCCTGAGCCTAAAGCATGCCCGAAGTTCAAGAGTTCTACAACGAGCATCTTCAATGACGTGGAGAGCACGCGAAAGACTTTGACATCCAAAATATTCACACATTTCGAGATAGTCAACTTTTCCAAGACAGGACAGCAAGAGACAAGTCTCTCGAAACTGGCCTCGTTGATATTGAAATATTTCAACTGCATAGTCTTCAGACAAGGCAAGGAGACAAACCCTACATGATCCAAGGCCAGCTTCACCGTACGGAGTTTTAAGGATACGAGTGTCTTACAGTTAAAAAGACTTGTGGGCATCTCAAGATAATCCCAATAGTTCCCAACATGAAGTTGAACATGTACATGTTGGACCTTACGCGTAACCGCAGCATCAATCCATGACTTGTGAAAATAGGAGGCACCATCATCTCTACCCTCATGGACAACAATAGTTAAGTTGAGTTTGTCTATGCACGAAGCCCTATCGGAATCGAAAAACCTATCACCGAACTTCACAAAGACATCTAAACATGGGAATTCTCTGGAATCCAAGTACTCTCTAGGAACCCAAAGCCACAGAGTCCTCCATCTGGTGGACAAAACGCTCGTCTTGACAAGATCCTTTGTGGAGAGATGAGAAAGTACCTGACATATCAGAGGATCTGGTAGTTCGCTTATCCTATCTTCTTCCTTCAACCTCTGACTCTGTCTCCAAGGAGATTTCCCTCTACTAATCATTTCTTCGTATTGCAGCTAATCTCTAATAAAAAAAAACCTCAAATAAACTAAACCAGATCCAGACTGCTAGTCCCTAGGGCTTTTAAGGTAGAAGATGACTATATATATATAAACATATTAAGGAAGAAGAAGAAGAGGGTCGAATCCGAAACAAATGCAAGCAATTGCTTCACGAATTCCCCGATGGCGGGAATGGAACTGAGTCGCTGTAAATTCGGGGATTCTTTTTCCTGTGTTCCGTTTTTTTTTTTCTATACTTTCATTTATGGTTGTTATTTCCTTTCTAATAGTATTATTTTTCCCAAATCTTTTGCATATTAAATAAGTAAATCCCAACAAAATCTCTTAAAAATCTGTAGTCCGAGTATTTGCATCCTAGAATATCGGATTGCCTTTAAAAACGTATTAATTGTCTAGCTTGCATGCAATGTTATGTTTGTGTGTGCGTGTGTCATACGGTAAAATCATTAAAAACAAAACTGGAATCTTTTTTTTTATATACGGAGTACATTTTTTAGTATAATGAGTCGGTTAAACAGAGATCGGTTGAAAATTATAATACTGAAACTAGACAAAACCACCGGCCGTTGATTATGTTTTTGTGATCGATTGACTGAGTTTATAAGAGCCACTTAAACGAAATTTATTAAAATATCCAAATTTTTTTCAGAAACCATGAAAGCAAATACTATCAATACCAACTGACAACTTTTTTTTTGTTTTTTTTTTTTTCAACTGACAACTTTAGTAACAAACTCCACAAAAGAAGCTCAAGTTGTTCGAGCCATCTGCTCTTTAACCAATCAAAGGACGAAGACTTGACACTTGGTAGAGCCTCTTGGGATTTGGAGGAGTCTCTTGAGTGTGACATTTTCTCTTGAACCATCAGAAGTACTCAAACGTACAAACACTTTCTTGAGGATTGCAGAATTCATTATGAAATAACTTAGTAGGATGACTTCTTCACTAGTTTCCCAGATTGAGAGATGGAAATATATGGCCTCGAGAGATGATAGCAAACATTGTGGCACAGATGAAATACTGGGATACTTCACTTCTTTTTGAGCACCATAGGACACCTGAGGAAGAAAAAAATAAAGCTCAATGAACAGATAAGCAGAGATGGAGAAAAACAAACTCATAGGGGCTAAGCAGATGATCACCAAGCTGAGGGCTCTCAAGTTTGGGAAGCTCTGGAGAAAGGTTGGTACCAAATTCAAAGCGAGTACGGTGGAGTCGAGGTGCAGAGAGAAGATATTACCAAACAGAGGGAGCGGTTCTAATTTCGAGTAGATACAGATGAGCTGAAGAGAAAATAATATTTAGGGTCAGAAAGTCTTCATGTCCTTACATGTACAAGAGGAATGAATTGAGAAGTGATATGATATATATACTATACATACCTCGAAAGTGAATGCAGATAATGACATCTCTCTGCTGACCTTGGAAATCCCGGAAAGAAAACGGCGGATGCTACTTCTCTTCGAGAAAAGGGCTGCTTCATCAAAATCATTCAGACGAAAGGCTAGAGAGATACTGACCTTGGAATTATTGGGATCCATATTGTTTACTAAAAAGCTTTCTGATAATTCACCAACGACGCTCAAGAAGCGAAGCCGAGGTGCATCAACCACAAATCCTGACCCTGAGCCAAAATCATGCACGAAGTTCAAGAATGATACAACGAGAATCTCCAATGACGTGGAGAGCACGCGAAAGACTTTAACATCCCTAATATTCAGACAATTCGAAATATTCAACTTTTCCAAGACAGGACAGCAAGAGACAAGTCTCTCGAAACTGGCCTCATTGGTATTGAAGCATTTCAATTCAATACTCTTCAGACAAGGCAAGGAGACAAACCCTACATGATCCAAGGTCACCTTCACCAAACAGAGTCTTAAGGATACTAGTGTCTTACAGTTAAAAAGACTTGTGGGCAACTCATAGAAATCCAAATTCCCACCTTGAAGTTGAGCATATACATGTTGGACCTTACGCTTAACCGCAGCATCAATCCATGACTTGTGATAGTAGGAGGCACCACCATCTCCACCCTTGTTGTTCATGTCGATAACGTTTAAGTTGAGTTCGTGTAGGCAGGAAACCCTAACGGGATCGAAAAACCTATCACCAAGCTTCACAAAAGCATCTAAACATGGGAATTCGCTGGAATCCAAGGTCGCATAAGGAACCCAAAGCCACAGAGTCCTCCATCTGGTGGACAAAACGCTCGTCTTCACAAGGTCCTTTGTGGAGAGATGAGAAAGTATCTCACATATCAGAGGATCTGGTAATTCGCTTATCCTATCTTCTTCCTTCGACCTCTGACTCTGTCTCGACCTTTTCCCTCTACCAATCATTTCTTCGTATTGCAAATTTGCAACTAATCTCTAGTAAAAAAAAACCTCAAATTATCTCTAGCCCAGTAGGGTTTGTGTATGTGTGTGTCAAACACGGTAAAAACAAAAATGGAATTTTCTTTTCGTATATACATTTTTTTTCAGTATAATTTTAATTATCAATATATTAATAAGTCGGTTATATTGGAATCGGTTGAAAATTACAATATAGAAATTAGACAAAAACAGCTGTTGATTATGGGAAAGGCGTAAGTATGTTGTGGTCGATTAACTGAGATTATAAGAGCCACTTAAAAAAAAGAGAAAAACATTCCAGTTTTGTTGTCTCTGCAAATGAATATGTGGTTTAATATTCAATACTAAAACATGTATATGATCACTCCAATTTGGTCTGAAAGTTCTTACTCTACCATGTATAACATATCTCTAATATAAGCTCTACTTTGACTATCCCAAATGTTTAGTTGCAGTAAAATGAGAATGGCAGTGTCTGAGTCAAAGGTTACAAAAGAGCAACAACTCCAGCGATTGGTTTGAAATCTTAATCATCATCATCATGTATAATAGATACTCTAGTAGAAAAGCACAGTTACAAAAAGAGAGCAACATAAGCGAACTTTACCATAATTTAGCCAAACGTTTTCATAAGAACAGAATTTCAAGAGAATAAAAGAACAATGCCGACCTTTCGACTACTTGTTTATTAGAATACAACAATCTTTTAGCCAGAAAATCTGACTATCTCTCTTTAAGGTTTTTCTACTCTCTTACATGACATAACAGACGCATTTGTTCATCTTGGGATCACCTTTAGGCTTCTTTTCTGTTTCAAACAAACATCTTTCTCTCTGTCAATTTCACAACAGATTCAGGTCGGAAATTAGCTAAACTAGAGTGATCCTTTGTGCAGTTTCAAACAAACATCTCTCTGTTTCTCTTGAAGCTTTCAGATCTCATCCTTTAAATGATCCACCTCTGTACAATCCTCCTGGTTCTAAACGGCAAATCCAATTTGTAATACAGACAATCACTTGAGAATCTAACACAAAACAAAGAAAGATAACAATACACTGAGAGCCAAAGGATTCAAAATCTTACGTGTAGTGGATAGTGGTCAACAATATCTCATTGTCATGTTTGTTGAATCTAGCAGCTTTCGGCTTTGCAGCATCATCTTCAAATCTTCTTGACGGATGCTTTTCAAAACTTCTTCCTAATAAACAACAAACCAACACTGTTTCTCAGCAATCATAATTTCATTTTACAATCCTATAAAGCTCAGACTCCAAATCACCTAATGAGCACCTAAACATCAATTCTTGTAACGAGTAGATGTGATGGTATAAATCTTGAGCGATGAATTTGACTATCTTTTTGAGTTCAGAAATAAACTGGAACGTACGGCGAAAATCAACTTCCCAAGCAAGCAACAACAAAAAAAAGTCATTAAAACGCGGCGGTTTTATCTTATCAAAGCAGAGAAAAAACCAGCAAAAACGCTGTCGTTTCGAAGTCTGCATTTCTTTCTAACTGTAAAAGACCAATAATTGGCCTTTGTCTTTCTCATTCGTTTTTCCAATCTTTTCCCCCAAATTTTACATTCGCAGATATTTTCTCGTTTGCTTGCAAAGTTTCACGCTTCTTCGTTCTTTCTAGATTCCACATACTGTGAGAGATTCTTCTTCTTCTCCTTCTCTTAAATTGATTTGGGCTTCTGAGCTTCCTCTATCGGGTTTTAGCTGTTTGATTGATTGAGAAGAGGAAAAAAAAAAGAGAGGGAGAAAGTGGAGCATGGATCCGGCGGCGGTGACGGCGGTTTCGCCGATTGATTTGCCGATTATGCACGACAGCGATCGTTACGACTTCGTCAAGGATATTGGGTCGGGTAATTTCGGTGTTGCGCGTCTCATGACGGATAAGGTTACAAAGGAGCTTGTTGCTGTCAAGTACATCGAGAGAGGAGACAAGGTGATGGATGTTTTTGGTTTCATTATCACATCTCTCTTCACTGAAAGATTTTCACTTTTTTTTTTGTTCTCTCTGTTATTTGAATGAAATTGGTTATATATAGGCTTGTGAATTTTGTGATCCACTCTGATGAGTTAAGTTTCCAGATTTAGTAACTTCCTTTTTGACTTCCGATCCATCCTTTATTGGTTTATCATACGATGGATTAACGGTTTTTAATGTAAAGTTAAGATTTTGACATTTCCGTTTTCGTTCAACGGCTTTTCAAATTAAATGCTTTTGATTTGTGAACTTATGAAACCAACATTGATTAGAGAGATTTTGTATTAAAAAAAATTCAATCTTTGTGGTGTTACAGATTGATGAAAATGTTCAAAGGGAGATCATCAATCACAGGTCGTTGAGGCATCCTAATATTGTCAGGTTTAAAGAGGTAAATGAAATATGAACACAATTACATTTACTGTGGTATGTTCACTATGCACATCTCTCTCTCTCTCTCTGGTTTTAGAGTTTTGGGGTTTGTGATAATGTTATAGGTGATTTTGACGCCTAGCCATCTGGCTATTGTAATGGAATATGCTGCCGGTGGAGAACTTTACGAGCGGATTTGTAATGCAGGGCGGTTTAGTGAAGATGAGGTAAACCATTCTGATATATAATACTATATAGTTACCACTTACAATTTTACTGCATCACAGATTGATCTTTGAGTTTTTTTTTTTCGAAATGAACAGGCTCGGTTCTTCTTTCAGCAGCTTATATCTGGAGTTAGCTATTGCCATGCAATGGTATGCAGAGCAACTTTAACCTTTTTCTTGTTTACGTTTGTTAAGAGTTTCAATGGTTTCACTCTAATGCTCTGTGCTGATTTTCCTCTATGAAGCAAATATGCCATCGAGACCTGAAGCTGGAAAACACACTGTTGGACGGAAGTCCTGCCCCTCGTTTGAAAATATGTGATTTTGGTTATTCCAAGGTACTATTTCTCTCAAGGTTTGTTCTCTCAATTCATGAACAAAACTGTTGAGAACATGCTCTTTACCAATCATGTGATCTTACTACTGATTATCATTGAGATGGTTGTATATTCTTAAAGTCCTAACATTGCTTTTTCTTTTCTTCAGTCTTCTGTTCTTCATTCGCAACCAAAGTCAACTGTTGGTACTCCTGCATACATTGCACCAGAGATCCTTCTTCGACAGTCTTATGACGGCAAGGTAACTAACTCCACGAGACCAATTCCTCTGACTAGTCTTGAGCTAATCAACCTTTTATCCATGACTGTTTCTTTTACCTGTCCTCTGAGTTACACAGATTGCAGATGTTTGGTCATGCGGCGTAACACTCTATGTAATGTTGGTTGGAGCATATCCATTTGAGGATCCAGACGAGCCAAGAGACTATCGAAAGACTATACAAGTAAACATTCTTGCTATCTCTCATTCATCATCATCCACCAACCTTCTTTCACTCATTATCCTTCAAACTTTGATTGTTTGTAGAGAATCCTTAGTGTGACATACTCAATCCCTGAGGACTTACACCTCTCACCAGAATGTCGCCATCTAATCTCAAGAATCTTCGTGGCTGATCCTGCAACGGTAAAGTTTATTATACAAACACTGATTCTTTAAAGCATTTTTTTTTGAGGTCTGAAGTAGACGATTGAGAGAATCTAATTGTGGCAGAGAATCAGTATCCCGGAGATCAGGTCACATGAATGGTTCTTGAAGAACCTTCCCGGTGATCTAATGGACGAGAACAGAATGGGGAGTCAGTTTCAAGAGCCGGAGCAGCCGATGCAGAGCCTTGACACTATCATGCAGATCATCTCAGAGGCGACGATTCCAGGTGTTCGTAACCGTTGCCTTGATGACTTCATGGCGGATAATCTTGACCTGGACGATGACATGGATGACTTTGATTCCGAATCTGAGATTGATGTTGACAGTAGCGGAGAGATTGTTTACGCTCTCTGAGATTTTGAGGGACAAAAAGAGGCTGTTTTGTTTTGTTCATACTGTTCAGACACACCACACCAACCTTCATTTTTGTTGTTTTCTTTTATCTACAAACTTTGGATTCACATACATAATGTGTAATATATTTATATGTTTCTCTTTTTATCATTATTGTTAAAAAAAGTTTAGTTTGAGCTTTTTTTTGTTTTTTAATGATATGAATAAAGAGAGCTTCTATTGTAGATTACATTGCTTTCTGTATTTGGATGGAGCAGTTTCAGATTAGCTAAAACAGAGTATCTTATACCTTTCAGATTTGGATTGTGGAGACAAAGAACATAATGCTCTCTGAGTTATATAGCTTCTGCACCAGTCAAGAATGTAGGGTCTCTCTGCAGAGACAAAACTCATGCTCGCTTCACTTGTGTCAGAAACTCAGAACCTACTCACAAAAAATATTCGATTAGACTTGAGAGTTGAGAATCTCGAACTTACATACAATTCTACCTGTGACTCTGTGAGCCAATTAGTTTGAAAGTTTGATCTTGAAAGAAGACTTGTTTGGTTTGGCATCTGATCCTTCTGTCTCACTGAATATCACCTGAGAAGCACCAAACTAAAAGAGGCTAAAGACTTCTCAAGCAGAGCTAACAGACAGTGTTAATTGTTTCAATCTGACTTGGTAATTAATCTTCATTGGTCGGTGATACAATTAAGAAAAATAAAAAAGCTCCGATGCCGGGAATCGAACCCGGGTCTCCTGGGTGAAAGCCAGATATCCTAACCGCTGGACGACATCGGATTTTTAATTTCTTACATTTTTCAGTGCTAATTGATACTTTATGCAAAACGAAACAATCTATTACTCTATTAGTATCCTGCTGAGTTTTTTTTCTTGGTTTGATGAGTATCAAAGTTGTCTGCCACGGGAAATTTAGACTTTGTGCTTTTTTTTCTATTCATTCTTTACTAATTAACGATTGACAAGGTTACAATTTGGTGCAATTTACACACCATTAATTCAAAGTGTGCTTGGTCAGTCTTTTGTCCAAAGATACCCGATTTGAGATCACTTCAAAGAACTATGGTTTGATATTTACTTGCCATAATATTGACTTCAAATCTAGTATCTTGAATCTTGATCCTCGGATTTTCTAGGATTGAGCTAATCATTATCCATTGTGATTCTTGTTGTCAATTAATAATTTAATAAATATGTGTTATATAGTTCTTTCCATTTAAAAATGCAAATCAACCATCATGTCTTAGGAACAAAATTCGAATGGTCTTACTAGGGACAATGTTCCACAGGCTACAAAATCCCAAATTGGGAAAGTCTCACCATTCTAAAGTAGGTAGACCCATGAGGTAAACATGTGGTATTATTCATTGCGGAAAGTGATTTGACTTGATGATTTGCAACTTGCACCGTCTTTGTTTATGTGGTAAACGGCCCTTTCTTGTTCCCATCTGGCTCTATCAATGGACTATTAGAGTAGAGACTTTGCTTGAACAATCCGTTCAATGTCCAAATCTTTCTTCATTTCCATTTTTTTTATGTTTAAATATTGATTCCTCAAGAGTTCTAACTTTAAAAAACATGTATCTTAACTTGTGAAGCTTCAAACTTGACTAAGAGTGACTCCATCTTTGAGACGAACTTGACCAAGAAGATGTCAACTGTTCAGAGGTTTTAACAACCTCTTGCCAACATTATCTTTAATTTGCCTCTCTCTCTTAAGAGTCTTCTTTCGTGGTCATCAATAAATCTATTGTCTTTGCTATATGTGGGACATGTTACTGTTGATAGATTTGTGTTGTCTCTTTCATCTCTTTGTTTTTCCCTCAGTCTTTTTCTTGATAGTGCTTTGAAGCTTTTAGACAATTTCCAAAATTGGGTTGTCATTTATGCTTTTCCGCAAAGAATATGATTGCTTGTTCTTATTTTTTCTTTTTGCGGTAATTACCTTTGAGAGTTCGATTTCGGTAGAAGTTGTACTTGGATTGTTGGATTTCTTTTCCAACTATGACAAAACTGTTTTTAAGACATGTCTTATACTTTCAATCTACACCTTTTTAAAAACAATGTTTTAAATGATCTGTCGACAAACTACAGTATAGGGTCATTGAGATACATGATCATATGGAAAGACATACAGGAAGATAACAACAACAAAATTTATTTGCCAAAAGCACTTTAATTAAGATGTTTTTCTAGTTAACATGTTCTTTTAAAAAGGAAAAAAATCGGTAGCTGTTTATCAAATTAAAATCAGTCTTTCAAACAGAATGTAAACATAAAAACACAATGCAACTATTAAATCTAGGATCTCATCTAATCGTTTTGACAACCAAAATTGACTCGGAAAATAAAACCAAAAAGACAAATTGACATGGAAACGTTACAAACTAACAATGGCCTAATAGCCTCTAGTGTCATTATTTTCAGATTTGACACTGACAAGTTTTTAAGAGAGAGATACAAAAATGGTTGAACAGTTTCAAATTTGTCATTATCATTTCTCAACGCCTTCGCATGTTGTGTCCCCACGTGGTTATCTTTAACAACCCAAGTGTTCTTCTTTTTGAGTATAAAATTAACCCAATGACTAATCAGGAATGCAACCCATTTTTCTTCTCCGGCCAACTTTTTTTCCTTTTTAACTAAGATTTTTTTCCAAATTATCTCATAATTATTATTGCCTTCTAGTTCTTGGAATGATCAACAATCAAACACGTATCCTAACCAAAAGCGGTCCATCTCAAGAACCAAACATTGAAATCCATTAGTGGGAACCGGAAATCTATGCACTGGTGATAACTGGACGCCTATATAATACACACGTATAGACAAAGATAACATCATAACTCACCAAACAATATCAAAATGCAAACACAGCACATGCAACAACAACAACTCCATCACTTCGTCCTTGTCCACGGATCATGTCATGGAGCGTGGTGCTGGTTCAAACTAGCGGCAAAGCTCAAGTCCGATGGTCAACGTGTCACAGCTGTGGAACTCGGTGGGTCCGGGATCGACACGAGGCAGCACGACCAGGTTCGTTCTGTCTCGGAGTATCTAGAGCCACTGATGAGTTTCTTGGAGTCTGTTCCTGAAGACGAGAAAGTGGTTCTTGTTGGTCATAGCTATGGTGGCATTGGAGTCTCCGTCGCCATGGAGAAATTTCCGACCAAAATCTCCGTCGGAGTCTTCCTCTCTGCTTATATGCCGCGCCATGACTCTCCTCCAGCAGCTCTGATTCAAGAGGTCGCCGGAATAAATCTCTTCTTCTTTTTTCGAAATATAAAAAGATAAAGTTATCTTAATTGGGACCATTCTTGATAATATATGTTATCTTATAATCGCATGTCACTTTCGGTTTTGTTTGCAGTATTTCAAGAGACTACCTGAGGGATTCGCCATGGATTGTGAGTTCACATTCGAAGAAGGACCAGAACAACCGCCAACTTCAGTTATGTTCGGTACTAGTTTCTTGAAGAAGGCATACAGTAATTCCCAACTAGAGGTGAGTTTACCACTTTACATCCATTTCTGTTTAATGGGTTTGATGAAGAAAATATTTTATTCAATATTTAATGGGTTAGTATCAAATTCGTATTAGGCCACAAGATGAATGTTTGGGCTAAGTCCACAAAATCTGAATTAGGTGATCAATGTTGCAGGATCTGGAACTAGCCATGGCGTTGGTGAAACCGAGCTGGTTATACCCAAAGGAAATGGAAAGTGAAGATTTGCTGACGAAGGAGAGATATGGATCGGGGAAGAGAGTGTTTATCGTCTGTGAATGTGACAATGTGGTTCCAGACGAGATTCAGAAGTGGATGATTAGCAACTACGAACCTAACGAAGTGAAGGTCATTGAAGAAGCTGGTCACATGGCTATGTTCACTAAACCTCAACAACTTTCTCAACTGTTACAAGAAATAGCAGCGACATATGACGGAATTTTTTTTTTTGGGTAAAATTAACAGTTTATTCAGTATCCTTTTATTAAGCTAAGCTCTCTGTAATGTAATACATTTCGAATCAATGAATCAAATATATTTTCAGTGAAGAAAACTCTGTGTATCTATTAATAAATAGGCTTCAACTGTATTTGGGATTCCTTAATATACTACATTACATTGCTTACTGTATTTGGCTGGGCCAGGTCCACACTAGCTTGACCAAAGTATCTTATACCTTTCAAATTTGGATTGTGGAGACAAAGAACATAATGCTCTCTGAGTTATATAGCTTCTGCACCAGTCAAGAATGTAGGATCACTCTGCAGAGACAAAACTCATGTTAGCTTCCCTTTTGTCAGAACTTCCAAGAAAACTCGATTAGACATCAGATTCTCGAACTTACACTCAGTTCTACTTGCGAGCCAATTAGTTTGAAATTTGATCTGGAAAGGAGACTTCTTTGTTTTGGCATCTGATTCTTCTTTCAGAGAATCTCACCTGAGAAGAGGTTAAAGAGGTTAAAGACTTCTCTAGCAGCTAAGAGACTGTTTAAATTGTTTGATTCTGACTTCCTAATATGACCATATCGGGTATGCGACTAATTTACCTTTGGTCCAGATTAAATTACTCATGGAGTAGACAGAGCTCTTGAAACCTTGACAAACTGCCTCAAAGTAGAAAAAAATATTAATTAGGCGACTATATGTCATAGGATGAGTTTGTTGTAGCGATGGTAAGACTAACCGTCGTAGAAGAGCTTCTGGGTTGTAAGGAAACAGTTTCTTCTGATGTAGCTTATCAACTGAATTTTGTAACGAAAGCAGGCAGTCTCTGGCGTTTTCAAAAGCCTCCGGATGTAATTTCCGGTTTTGTTCAACCTCAGAAGTCTCGACCAGAAACTTCCTTCTCTTTGAAGATGATGCATTTATATCTCCTTCAAATGGGAATTCCGCAAACAGGGTCCACGAGTCACAGACCTTACGCAAGCATCTACCGGGAAGATACAGTGGAGTGTTAAACAGGATTCAACCTTATATTATGTATAGTTAGTAATATGCATTAGATAATTGGAAACGAGAATATGCATTAACAATCATATCCAGTTGATATACAAAATAACTTGGGAGAAAAAGATTAACCTCAGCAGGTACTCTGCACAGCTAGCTCCGATGTCTTTCGATATGAGGTAATCAAGAAGGACTTGATGATCATAATGCAGCTGGCAATGGAAACCAGGGTGCGGGTGCGTCGCATTAAGAATTGCAACGATGATAACAAATAACCAAGCCTTGAACATAGTACACGAGATTTATAAAAATTACCTCTGAAAGAAATATACAGAACAGGATGACAGGATTGAACAGCGTTAATAAACGTAAGTGAATAGTTTGTTCCTCATCTTGAAGCGAACACCCTTCCACGTTAAGCCTGTGATCAAAAACTTACATAAGAGAGTGCACAGATACTTGGTTCACTATTTGCAGAAAGAGTAGTTTGCCCAACTTACAGTTCTTTTTCAGGCAATCGTATAGAAAGCAACTGCAGGAGGACTTTAAACAATAGATCATCCTACAAAATAGGGAAACGATATGATAAACTCTACTATATGGTGTTAAGCTAAAACCCCAAATACAAATGGCAGATACATAAGGATTAAGTAAAAACCTCATGCATGAACAGCCGGATGAAGGATGTAGAAAACTCAACACTCTTCTCGGTATAATTTCTATTATCAGAAAATGTATCGCCTGGACTCTGTTGTTCAATCCAATTAAACATCTCTTCCATTCCTTTCTTTCTACAATCGAACTCACAGAGCTTGTCGGTATGCCTACTTGAATAAAGCAAAGGGAAGGAGCACCGTAGGAACAGAAACACTGAAAGTCTTTGCAAATGACTGGAATGCGTCTCGTTGACCTCGCTCTCAGATAAACTAACAAAAAATGGAGAACCTTCCAAACAGTGATCTTCCACGGGTTTAAACCTGGGTTGAAGAAAGCCTTGAAAATGGCGTTGCAGATATTGCAGCCATGAAAGAAGGATGGTGCATTTGATATTGGACTTATAAGTAAGTCTGATCATCAACACCTACAAAAAGGGAGAGATAGAAGCGTAGGAAGAACTTACTATCAGAATCAAGAAACAAAGCAAAGAATTTCTTTAATAAACAGATGAAATGACATACCAGCAACTTGTGCACTAGGTATTTCGACATGGAAGCGCCATTTTGACTTTCTAACTTTGGTTGGCACCAACGGAGGAGATCCGGAACAAGCTCGGTGACTTTTTGGAGTATCAAATGTGTAGGTTCAAGACCATCAGAATCTTCTGCAAAACTAACCTGCTGAACCACGGAACAGAGAAACTGAACAAAGTTCCCAAGAAATACAGATACTTCTTCACAGTCTGCAATGCTTCCTAGAGCTTCATTATGACCAGAAAATATAGCATCCAGACGGCACCAAAGCACTTTTGCAAGTGTAGAGTTGACAGATTCCAAGTACACATCAAGAAGTTCCTCATTTTCTTCTTGGCTCAGTCGCTTCAATATATTACGAAGTGCTTGAAAGATAGCAGACACTGTGCGCCACTTAGCCTTTTGCAGTTTACATTTAAGAACATCAGAACCAGATAAATGTAGATTCGGACTTCCACATCCAGTTTCATAAGAAGCAGCAGGAATTGGGCATATCTCGATAAAAGCTAAGTGCAGAGAGTCACAAAGCAAGCGAATGAAATCATCCCATTGACTTCCCTAAGAAAAAAAATGAGTTGGAATGAAATCTGGAAGAAACTGTACATTCTAAAAATCTGAAGTGAGGCAGAACGCAACATACAGATTCAACCAGAGACTCGGATACTTCCACAAGAATGCTGCCAGCCAAATGTTGAACATGCACACTCTTCACACCTAACAAACCAACCTGCCACAAAACCGAGAGATACCAGATCAAACTAAGAACATGAATTCGCCTAATTTACATCTCCTGCAGTGACAATCAATTAAACTTTTCCCCTTATTTAGCATTATTGCATAGAGAAGTTTCTCTGGAAACTTACAAGATCGGCCACAAGTCTTTCTAAGCATAGATATTCTTTGGATTCTGGACCATATGAAGCAGCACCGTTCTCTCCAGCTTCCTGTTGAGATAATCTTCAAAATAGCTTCACTAATCATGAGCTAACCTTAAAATGTTACAGAGTACACAAACCAAGGAACTCACCGCCGACACATCACGGCCAATTTCGATTCTCCAAGATTGGATTTCTCTCAACACCTTCAATACCAATTTCGGAGTAAATCAAATTCGGTGCCGTCTTTTAGTAGACTTCGAAGTTAAACAAAAACACAGGACCCGAAGAAAAAATGTACCTGAGACAGAGAAAGAAGCATATCCTTCTCCATTTCCTTCGTCGGCGAATTTACGTCTCTTCCCTACATATCCCCGAGAACGATCGAGCGTTAGCGTTTATAATTTGAACAAAACACATACAATTAAGCTACTCTAACTCAGAAAAAAAAGATGGAGAGTACTTACATCGTAGGGTCGTACACAACGATCGATCAAGAGATGAAGACGAGAAGCTCTCTCTCCGGTAGCCATTTTCTCCGACGACCGCTCTCTCTCTCTCTCTCTCTCTCGCAGCGTTTTGTTATAAAACGCGCCGTTTTAATTTAAAAGGCTTTGTATTAAAACGCGGCGTTTTTAAAGTCCCTGCATGACGTAGTCCTGATGCCCCTGAACGAAATAGCTTCTTCCGTCGTAGAACTTACACGGAGATGCGTATCGACCACCGCGATAAAGCGAGCGCGTCAGCTCCACGCTCTCGTCCTCACCGCCGGCGCAGCTTCCGAGTCTCCGTACGCAAACAACAACCTCATCTCGATGTACGCTCGGTGCGGCTCTCTAGAACAAGCGCGGAAAGTGTTCGACCAAATGCCTCAGAGAAACATAGTCTCTTACAATGCGCTTTACTCGGCGTATTCCCGTAACCCAGATCACGCAAGTTACGCGTTTCCTCTGATAACCCATATGGAATCTGAGTTCTTGAGGCCCAATAGCTCGACTTTCACTAGCTTAGTGCTACTATGTGCTGCGGTTGAGGATGTTTTGATGGGATCGTTGTTACATTCACAGATCATAAAACTTGGATTTTCAGATGATGTAGTTGTGCAGACATCGGTTTTGGGGATGTACTCGAGCTGCGGGGAGTTGGAATCTGCGAGGAGGATCTTCGAGTGTGTAAATGATGGAGATGCAGTGGCTTGGAACGCGATGATAGTTGGGAGCTTGAGAAATGATAAAGTAGAAGAAGGGCTTAAGATTTTCAAAAGCATGTTGATGTCTGGTGTTGAGCCAACGCGATTCACGTATTCGTTGGTGTTGAATGCTTGTAGTAAATTGGGAAGCTTTTCACTAGGGAAACTAGTCCATTCCCGGATGATAGTCTTGGATAGTTTTGAGGACTTACCTTTAGAGAATGCTCTTCTTGACATGTATTGTAGCTGTGGGGATATGAGAGAAGCTCTCTATCTGTTTGGGAGGATTCGTAAACCGGATTTGGTTTCGTGGAACTCGGTTATTTCAGGGTGTGCAGAGAACGGTTTAGGAGGGGAAGCGATTCTTATGTATAGAAGGATGCAGAGGATGTTTACGCTTAGGCCAGATGAGTATACTTTCTCTGGTGTGATATCTGCAACAGCGGAAGGAGAAAGATTTGTTCATGGGAAAGTTCTTCATGGACAGGTGATGAAATTGGGATATGAGAGGAGTGTTTTTGTTGGAACGACTCTCTTGTCCATGTACTTAAAGAACGGAGAAGCTGAATCTGCGGAAAAAGTGTTTGGTGTGGTCGCGGAGAAGGATATTGTTCTCTGGACTGAGATGATCGTAGGGCAATCTAGACTGGGAAACAGCGAGTTCGCAGTCCAACTCTTCACTGAAATGTACAGAGAGAAAAATAGAGCTGATGGTTTCTCCCTGAGTAGCGTCTTGGGAGCATGTTCAGATATGGCCATGCTTAGACAAGGTGAACTGTTCCATTCTCTTGCGATGAAGACGGGATTCGATAGCGTTATGTCAGTGTGTGGAGCGTTAGTGGACATGTACAGCAAGAATGGCAAATACGACTCTGCAGAATCAGTGTTCTCTCTTGTTTCGAATCCTGATTTGAAATGTTGGAACTCAATGCTAGGAGCTTATAGTCAGCATGGAATGGTGGAAAAGGCTATGAGTTTCTTTGAACAGATACTTGAGAAAGGTCTCACGCCGGATGCAGTAACATACTTGTCTTTATTAGTAGCATGCAGCCACAGTGGATCGACGCAGCAAGGAAAGTTCCTGTGGAACCAAATGAAGGAGCGTGGGATCGAAGCAGGGTTTAAGCACTACTCTTGCATGGTGAGTTTGGTGTCAAAAGCTGGGCTACTAGACGAAGCGTTGGAACTGATAGAAGAATCTCCTCTGGGGAACAATCAAGCAGAGCTTTGGAGAACTCTGCTAAGCGTTTGTGTTAACAGAAGAAACTTGCAGATGGGACTATACGCTGCTGAGCAGATCCTGAGACTTGATCAAGAAGACATGGCAACCCACATTCTACTATCGAATCTTTATGCGGTGAATGGGAGATGGGACGATGTTGCAGAGATGAGAAGGAAGATTAGAGGATTAGGTTCTGCTAAAGATCCAGGATTGAGCTGGATTGAAGTGAACAACAACAGTACACAAGTTTTCACCTCTGGAGGAGACCAGTTTAACCCAGAAGAAGTAAGTGAAGCTCAAGATGAGTTACACAGGTTAAAGCGTAATATGTTGTGCAAATCATCATCCAGTGAACAAGATTCGTTCTTTACAAGACTTGTCTGTCCAGATTAAAAGTTGTTCTAAAACAAGTATCCTCATTTCAATTCGAAATCACATGACAGAGGAGAAAGTAACAAGGTAAGATCTTAGAGCCAAAAAAAAGAACACAATTCCTCTGTTTCTTTCTAGTTTCAGTACACAAATTCTAAAACGACCAGACACACTAAAAGAGTAAGAGATCACTAAAGATTGAAAAAGGCAATAACCAGAAAAAAAGGAAGAAATTGAAACCCTCTGACAAAGACAGAAGGTTTAGTGTCAAAGTCTGTTCATTTGAGTGGGTTTCCTGGTGTTGTGATGGAGAGCTCCGGCCACGCAAAGTACTCACCGGAGACGAATCCACCGGCGTTGCTGCTCTCTAAACCCTCGAACTGCCACGTGGCGGGTATAGGAACCGGGTGGTGGTGACCACCGTTGCTCCCTACATTCGTCGTTGAAGCGTCGCACACAGTTGAAAACGGCCACACCGCTCTTCCAAGTCCGAAGCTGACGTCATCAAAACCCGAGCCGAGTCCGATTCCAAATCCGCCGAGTCCGATAACCGAACCGGTTCCATGAGTGGCCGCTGCGGCGGCGTTGTGGTTCAACAGAGAGGTGAAACTTCCGCAGAGAGATAAAGCGCTTCCCTTTGCGTCGCTATCAAGCGGAGCAGTTACGGTGTGGCTAACGCCGTTAGAGATTGACGACTGAGGGAACAGAACAGGTGTCGCTTGTAACGGAACGCTGCAGATTCCGACAGAAGAAGCAGAGACGACTGAGTTAGCAGCGGAGGAGGCGGGGGAGGAGCAAGTGCGGGAGCGTTTTGCGGATTTGCGAGTACCACCGCCGATTGGAATGTCGCGGAGAGTACCGCCGTGAGTCCAGTAACGGCGGCAGGATTTGCAGAAGTGACGAGGCTGAGAGAAGTTGTAGTTGTTGTAGTAGCAGAACTTGGTGTTGGTTGAGTCGCAGCGAGGACAAGGGAGTTGCTCTTGCTGTTCGGTGTTCGGAGGAAGCCCTGTTGCTGCGCCGTGAAGTCTCATCGCTATCCGCCGTGATTCGCCGGAGTCAGTCGTCGTCATGAAGAAAGATTGGGTTTTTTTTAGAAAGGGGAAACCGCGGGAATGAAGAAAGAAAGATTGAAGCTTTGTTTCTGTTAAAGGTTCAGTCTTTTGTTAGGAGGGAGTGAGATTTGGGGAGTTTGTTTGCTTTTTATGGAGGAGAGAGAGAGAGAGAGAGAGAGAGAAGGAAACATGCGCAGATAGAAATGGGGATGGAGAAGAAAGTCAGGTTTTTTTTGACAGAGGGTGTTGGGTTGATTAGAGGCCACGCTTACTCTGTCTCTCTCTTCTCTCTCTTGTCTTTAAAGTTTGTCTTTTTATGAGGTTTTAAATTGATTTATTGGAATTGTTGAGTCGGCTATGGATTATTGTGAACAGTGATTGCTCTGTTTCCTTCATAGACACTATGAGTCGGCTCTCTTCATACGTAGCTGGCTCTTCTTTCAATGTTTTCAGTTTGAACAAGGGTTCAATAATTCACTATTTTATCTTATTCTAATTGCTAATTTTCGAGATATTAGCTAAAATTTCACATTTGTAGTTATAATTTGTAAATATTTGTTCCTAGTACTTTCTTGTTGTAATGTTGTATATAACTTATTTATGCTATATTAGTTTTTCGAGTTACACTTAGATTATTAATTTACTACAAATTTTGAAAGGTAATAAAAAATGCACCTAGCTGCGGTCGTGAAGAAATTATTTTTATGACCGTCGCAATATTTGACCATCCCAAACACTCTTAATTATGTGAATAGTGTTGCTCACCAAAGTTTGGTTGACATATTGAGGAATATGAAATGAGTTAAAACGTAATTTCTTCTCTTTAAAAACTTCAACAATGTGATAATTCACCGTTGTGGCTTTTAGCTTCTAGACAAACAAAAAATGTGCAACAAGATAACTAACAATTTTGGTACATGTAGTAACGGAAAAACATAATGATACATATTTTAGTCTTTTCTTCACCAACCTAATAAAAAACAATTATTGTACTTGCAATGTTAAAGATTAGTTATGGACTCATGACGTTGCTTTTATGTTTAAAGTTTTAAATTAGTAATACAGTCAAAACTAATAATAATGACATAATTTTATGTTTTGTGGAAAACAAATACACGTGAATAAAAACAAAATGATACGGAGATAATGCATAGAGAGAGGAGTAGGTCGCAGTAGGCATTACAGGTAGGAGACTATTGAGCTTATCAATGTACGGCCAGTTTCCCAGTAATTCTACAATGTTCTTCATAAAATATGCAAAATTTGGTTATCAAAGAAAACATGTTTCAGAATTCTTTACTGTAGATTTATAGTAGTCGATAGAAGTGCATGTATCCTATCGTAAGCGTAACTCTTGGGCAATTTTAAAAGAATAGAATGCATGTTCCAGAAAGTTGGAAACAAGGGACACGTTTTTCTATCGTCTTCGTTAAGATTAACTTTGAGAATGGATAATATTGGATTTACTATATTATTTTATTTGAGATGAATTAAACTACTACTACTATTGCTCTTTGTGGGATCACGCAGCTTTTGAAATTTATGTCCAAAGAAAAAAAAAACTGATCTTGTTTCATTGTTCGCTGTCGAAGAAAAGACAATATTGTAATGTACTGGAAACTTTTTGTTTGTTTATTTAAAGATGATTCTTCTTGAATACTTTATTCGAAGCATTCAAAGTATAGAGACAGGTGTGACAGTTGATTATTAAGTCAAAGTATATACATACGTTTGCGGGATTTCTAATTAAAATGGTAATTTGGTAATGGCGGTGGACCCTGGTCTTATTTCTCACTAAATTTGTATTACCACAAGTCCTATGAAAATTATTGATTATGTAACTAAATTCACGTTGTAAATGATTATGTAGATTTGACGAATCCGAATCTATCTTAGTCGACATAAGAGTATAAGACTAACAATTTGTATTGGCGTTTGATAGCTTAAGGACCACACCACACTAATAATCCACGTCGAGACCAAATCTACGTAAGAAAGAGACATAGTAGATTTGATTATATGATTCAAAGTTCAAGCATTGGACGGAAACAAACACAACCTTTTCAAAAAGAACATATCCGAACTTCAAAACCTATTAATTCTAACACTATCGTCTAATAGATGTATGACAAATGAGAACATGATCTTCATACTATATCAGACAAAGTTCACATAGTAAAAAGAAGATATATACTTTAATTCTTCACAAATTCGTATATTCTTCACATTCTAATTAAAATGGTAATTTGGCATTTTTATAAATTTGGGATTTCAGCTAGAAATGAAGAATTTATAAAAATGCGACGGAGGGAATCGGATTCCGCAATCAGAGGAAATGTGTAATTATAATTCTTCACGCCTTGTCTCAAACCCCATTCCCATCATTCTGTCTCTCTCCGCATTTCTCGTTCCTCTTCATATTTTTTTTTGTAAAAATAAATTTTATTATGAGTCAGTCTCCATAAAAATAACGACTTCTGCAGAACGTCAAGAAAATATCCTACAAAACACAGAACATGACAAAGACAAATCCGACGTTTTATTTTTGAAGTAAAAGTACTCATACTGGTCTGGTCCATAAATATATATAAAGGGAAACAAGTTACACTACAAACTTACAAATACGTAAGTGGCAATATTAAAAAAGAAACGGTCAAAGAGACAAGAGTGAAGCTGTTGGGTCGGGCCGAAGGAGGTGGATAAGCACGCGCAGCCGGAGGATGATATGACCCACACTGAACCACCATCCATTTCAACGACTTCTTCTCTCTCTAGTCGCTTTCACACCCAAAAACAATGAAAGAGAGAGAGAGAGTGAGTGAGAGAGAGAGAGGGCAGAGAGGTGTGGTTTGTGTGTTGTGTGCCATATGGGACGATGTGTCCTATTTGTTTTTGCAGTTGCAGCCGTCCTTTCCTTGTCGGATATTCGGGTCCGGACCGGTCCTTTCAGATCATACCACTGACACCTTCCTTACCTTATTCCCTCTCTCTTTCTTCTTGTCTTTTTCTTCCTCGATCCTCTCTCTTCTCTGATTCCGATTCCTCAACCTTTGATCCCCAAGTGGTGTTTTTTTTTGTATTTTTGAAAATGCATCAAAGAGGGCTACTTTCGTCTTTTCAAGTTCATTCCGCCGTGTTTATCCGCGATCGGTTAAACCCAACGGTCCAATATGTTTTTTTCACTCAGTTACTAAAAATGAACAAGCATACAACTGATTATTCCCTTTCACTTTTGAAAGTTTCCTTTGTTCCTTCTCTACATTTAATTTTGACAAGTGTAATTATATTCTTAGTATCCGACACAAAGACGATTGTATACTCCAAATACACGAACCCAACAACCACAAGAATAATTGATTTGTTTCCACAACTCATGTTACAACATGTAAATAAACTCTCAATCTACCATTTAAAATGAAAAAGAAAGAAACAAAAAAACAAAGAAAAAATCTTACAAACTCGGAGTATAGAGATTAACACAATTTAAAGAAAAGAAAAAAAAAGGGTTGCTAGGCTCTCATATAATTCAAAGGTCACGAAGATGGAGGAGATTAAAAGGAGTAACGAATTTGGAGTCTCCATAGAGTAATTTGTCAGCAATTAAGAGATTAGCAGCTTCGCTAGGATGGTAAGGGTCCCAAAACACATGCTTTGACCGGTCCGTACAAAGGCTCGACGTTGGTCCACATGGCAATATCCCCGCCAATCTCCCTCCCGTCCCACAACACGCCTCACTCGCCGTCCTAAACCCTGTCATTCATTTATTTTTCATAAAAAAATATTATAAATTAATCACAGAAAAAGAAAACAGAACATAACTTATTCAAAACTTAAATAACAAGGCTAAACAATTCAAAGACTGTTGGATGTATAATAATTAATATGTATGATATGTTTCTTACCGTAGTCTTTGAAGTTGACAATGAGGTCCATGACAAGATCATAGACGTTGGCGTAAACGAAGTGTGCATCTTTTAGAGTATCTTTCATTTCCACCAACAAGAGATCTTTGAGACGAGCATTGTACTGAAGAGCCAGTTTGTTTGCCAAATCAACACACTGCTTATCTTTCAGCTGGTTGACCGATTTCTGATATGGTATACATCCAATGGGAGCCACATTCCCCACCACAAATTTTCGAGCATCCAATTCATATAATCTCTAACATTTTGTCCAGTATAAAAATATGTTAATTTAACATAAGAAAAAAGGTTAAGAAACATAACATTTATATATATATATTTTTTAACATACCTTGAGCTGGTTACGAAGATGGCCAATCATGTCTTCAACAAAAGTTTCAGGGGTTTGTGTAAGTCTTGCTTGAGCTGCGACAAAAGGTACTAGATAGTTGTTGAGAAAATCGTTTGAGCCAATGACTATGGAGAATATGGACTTGTTCCTGATGTAATCTTTGGCCTTATCTTCACCCAAAAGCTTATCAAATTGCTTTCTTGTAATGCCATAGTAATCGACTTGTATATCCATTCCCAACCGATTCACCTAAAATTATTGTGATTTTGAACTGTGAACTTATGTACTAGTCTATTTGCTCATTTGTGTACACAATCAAAAAAATATACCGAGTGGAAAAACAAAATTTCTCATATTTTTACAAAAATAATTGACATGAATTTTTTCGTAAACTTTTCCCGCTAACAAAGCGAACGTGACAGATAATAAACGGCATATAGTATTTTCATGAAGATAACAAAAAAAAGAGACTTACAAACACACTTCCCGTAGCATTGAGAATTCCACCACCACCTGATGCGTAATTCACACCGTTTAATAATGCTTCACCTTTAGCATTTGGTGCTAAATATGGAACTGCATAGTTTGGTTGACCCAACTTCTCTCCTGTTGAAACAACAAAACAAATTCACAATGGGATAACCATTAAAAAGATTACATTTGGATGTACAGTAAGTTGCTCTAATTACCAACGATGTCAGCTATGGTACGGCCATTGGTAAATCGGCCGGTTGGATTTCCACGAGAAGGTTTAAAATCAATGCCATTAGGAGGACTATTGGCTCTCGACAACGTTTGTAAGTAATTGTTGTTGCCTGCGTCCACTAGCGAATCACCGAACACGAATGACGCGGCTAATGCATTTTTGTCTCCAGCGCTAACTACCACTGAAAATCTTGATCCGACGACGAGGAATACAAAGAAAGGGACTAAGAAAATGGCTTTCTTCATTGACATGAAATGGTTTCTAAATTTAGATTTTGTGTTTTTGATGTTCTTTGCTAAAGAATATATATATAGATAACTCTTCTGATTGCTAAAGAAGCTATGAGAAGCAACCTTATGTGTTCGATTTTAAACAGGGTTGTTTAACAAACAAAAGGCTTTTCTGTAGTCAACAAGTTTCCATTTTTCTTAATTACTAATACAAAACAGAAAAAGTTAGGACACCAACATCGTAGTGTTATGGTTCAGAAACTTTGAAAAATAAAATACCCTTGTTTTCGTCGTATCTACTCTTAACACTATTATTACATTATCCTTCAAAAGATTTTTATTTCACGTAACTGTTTTTTTTTTTTGTTTAGTATCATAATATGCTAATTGGGAAATCAAAATACCACCTGGTAGAAAAAGAGAAAAATAATAGCAGTCGTATGGGTTTTATAGGAAACACAAGGTGGGCTTATTATTAATTGGGCTGAGAATATTGTCGAAGGTATTTAAAAGCAACCATGAAAACAACCACCAAAAAAAAAAAAAGCAACCATGAAAACAAAAAAATCGCCGTTGCCGGGGATCGAACCCGGGTCACCCGCGTGACAGGCGGGAATACTTACCACTATACTAGAACGACATTGATGCTAACATGTGGAGTCAATTGAAAAATGAATTTAGAGTCAAAGTGTCAATTCAAACACACCTATTTGGCAGACAAAATTGATTAGGTTTGTGTTTTCTTTTGTACTTGGACTTGTGTTATTATTATTTTTTGCTTTGGCAAGAATCTGTGGTTTATAATGAAGTGTTCGTTGAACATGTAAGGAAAACATTATCAAAAGGACCTAATGATGATGAGTCTTTATGTTGCGTGTTGTGCAAACATCTCATTCGTAGGATTATTCAAACTACACCTAACTTTATTGCCGTTGGACCGGTGAAATCATAATCCATGCAACATATTCATCTCATTGGACTAAATTAGATGTACACATGCAACATAAGATGATTATCCACGTACTCGTTACAAAACTTTTCTTAGACTAAAATTTTCTTGTTTTTTTATAGAAATGGCTATTTTGAGGCGGTCTACTATGATTTTAAAAACTTTATATAATTGATCATAATTTCATACCATTCATAGAACTCCTTGAAAATGCTTGAAGATAATTGGATCAACCTGTTTAATTAATATATACATTTACATGAAAATTTGAATAATTTGGTGTTGTGTACATACAAAAAAACAAACGACTATCTTTTGGGGCTAACTCTCCCTTGTGCCGAGAAGCTAGGAGCCACCGTTAATTCAGTCGGACCACCAAACGGATCCGACGAACGGAACTCCATCGGCGGCGCATTCTCCGACACACGCCACATCTTCACCGATCTATCTAAACTCCCACTGTACACAATCCACCTTCTCTCACCGGAAACCGATTCCTGATCTCTCTCCACCGCCAAACACTTCACCGGACCCGCGTGTCCCGTCAACACCGAAAGACACACGTGCTCCTCTCCTCCGCCGCGCTCCGGCCTCCTCCAAACGCGAATTCCAAGATCAGCAGAACCACTGAACAGCAAATTCCCCGCCGTGACAAGACAGAGCACCGCGAGTTTATGCCCTTTCAAAACGCCGCCGTTTTTCATATTATGGTCACGCTCCCAAAAGTTAACGGTTCCGTCAGACGAACCGCAGTAAACTAACGTCGCGCTCTGATCAACCGCGATCGCCGTAACGGCGCAGTCCTGTTTCAAAAGCGTCTCGGAGAAGAAATGCTTCGTCTCCTTCGCCTGATCCTCCCTCCTCCACACTTTCACCGTCCCGTCTGCAGATCCAGTGAAAACCAATCCGTCGAAACCCGAAACGACGGCGTTCACCGCGTCCTCGTGAGCGTTGACCGATTCCAAACACCTCAGATCCGAGACTCTCCACACCTTAAACGTCTTATCCCACGATCCCGAGTACAGGAGCCGCTTGTCCTCGCTCAGCGCGAGGCACGAGATCGCGTCCAGGTGCCGGAACCCCTGCGCGCTGGTCCGATTCCGCCGCGTGAAATTGAAGTAGGAGGAAGGCGCGATCGAGTTCCTGATGAAATCGCGGAGGTTCGGCATCGTCCCGACGCGGCGGAAGGCGTTGGACTCCTTCGCCGAGACTTTCCAGACGCGGATCTTCCCGTCCTGATGCCCCGTGAAGATTTTGTCTCCGGCGAGCACGATCGCCTTCACCAGTCCGCTGTTGGATTTGAAGCTGGAGAATTCGATGTGGCTTTTCCAGACTCTGATGTTTTTGGAATCGGATCCGGTGTAGAGTAGATCTCCGGATGTGGCTAAGGAGTAGATATGGCCTTCTTCGCGGACCAGAGATCCCAGGAGAACGTTGGGTGAGTAGTTAGTGTGTTCTTCGGTGTACGACGCCGGCGGAGGTTTCGACGCCGAATGCGGCGGTTCTGCATCGGTGGGATCGACTCGTACTGACCATGGCGATTTGGATAACGGAGAAGATGAGCCCTCGGAGGGAGAAATGTCGACGTATGTGATGTCGTAAATGTCTGGATCTGGATTCGTATCTACTCTCTTTAGCTTTGTGAAGTTTTGACTATTTACGTCTCTGCTCGAAGCCTTGTTATGCATTTTGAATTTTCCGATTACATGAACGCCGAGAAAGAAAGAAAAGAAAAAAAGATTGGAGACGATGGTGCCTATATTGGATTTATGGATGATGCTCTCTATTTATAGTTTTTTTTCAAAATTAGTATCGCTTATCTCGGAATAAATTTTTATAGATTTTTTTGAATTATATAGCTGCATGAAAAAAGAAGAAGAATACAAAGTTTAGCTAGTTTATATAAATCCATTTTCTATTATCTAAGTAAAGATAAATTACTTTCCGAGAATTCTGCAAGAAGTAAAGCAAAGAGAACCATTGTTTTTTTCTTTTTCTTTTTCAAATCAAAACCGAACAACGTATGAAAATCAATGTTCTTGCTCATTAGGCAAGCAAAATCAGAGCAGGGACATGGTTACATAGTTACATAAAGGAATCAGTAAAGTAGAGAAAAAAAAAGATGATTTACCATATTTATAGGTATCAGAAGAATTGTTTATATGAAAACATATGATTTTGTCCGCTTTGAAGACACTACAAGAAATATGACCATTGATAGCACCGTAATAACGCTATAGATTATCTTTAATAGCGTTTTCATAAACGTTGTGTTAGCCGGAGCTAGATCTACGTTTATTAATCAAAATATACATGTTCACCTTCACGTGTTATACGAAAAAATTGTAGACGCGACTCTTCTTCTTCTGTTGCTTCTTTCTCCATCAACTTAATCTTCTTAGACGAAAATTGTTTATTTTCTTCTTCTTCTTCTACTTCAGCAGTTCTTTTTCTACCCACTTCTTCATCAATTAGTCCTATAATCGACCTTAAAGAGGAGATGCTTTTATCATCATCACAGTTAGCCACTGTCTCATCAAGTCCTACGACAGAAGACCACGACGGTTGAAACTGAATAATATCTCGATATGAATTACACCACCCTGGAATCGAACCCATGACTTCCCACTTGTCAGCACTCAAGTCGTACACATGTAACACTGTGTCGTAAACGCCCTTCTTTTTCCTAACCTCCCTCAACACTAAACGCCTCCCGTCGTAAGCCTCTACGTTCACAGGCCTTTTTACGTCCAACACCATGTTCTGGATCCGCGTCACCAAGACCCACTTGGGATCACTTTTAATATCCTGGAGGGCGTAAACGTTAGTTATCTCCTTCGTCGGCGATACCAAAGTTAACTTATTATCGCTGGCGGTGAATAACGCTGTCAAACTCAATTCATCGGGGAGTTTGGTCGGAACCAGTCGTGCTTCATGTGTTTTGGGGTTGAAAGCTACTATGCCTCCGTCCTTACGTAGCCAGTGAAGAGATCCGTCCAAGTAAACAGGGTTTTTCATTCGGTTATCGAGGTCGCTTGATTGGCAAGTAATCTTCGTTTTCGAATCTCTCCACGAATCTCCTCCTCCGGCGTAAATCTCGAACTCATAACTCGTTTCGTTGAGTTTTTTCGCCTCAAATAAGTGGACGATTTCGAAACTCGGGGTGGTTTGATTGACGGCGAACCCGACGTGCTTTGTGTTCTCACCAAGGACATCCATTAACCTAGATAGGTTTAAGAATCGAAACTTCTTCGTGAGGGGATTCGCAACGCATAGGCCATCACCAATGAAGAGTAGAAGAAGGCCAGAGCAAGAGCCCAAAATCTGACACTCCGTTGAGGTGTTTTTGACTCCTATGCGTGACCTAGAATCGCCGTAACGCTGGTAAGAGAGCAAATTGGAGCCATGAGAAGAGATTTGAAGCAAACCGGGTGGGAAGTAATTAGATATGAAATACGGGTCTTGGATATGAGAGTTAAGGTACCTGTGCAACGCATCATCACCATTCACCAGAGATCTTGGATTTATCCGGAAGAGAATCTTGTGTATGAGATGCTCAGGTAAGCCGTCCATGATCGGAGATATTAGGGTTCCTGCTTTTTACTTGCCTTTTTCTAGTTCTTTGATGTTGTTAAATGTTAATTATATATAGACATACGTAACAGTTGAAAAGCAAATTCCAACAAGGAAACGGATTTGGCAATGTGTATTTCTAGTAAAAAGGAAAATTTAGTGAACTTTATCCCTTTATTTTAAGATGTACTTATATCGATTATTATGTAAATCTAAAATATACATGATTTGGAATTTCTTATAACGTTTATAATTTGTGGTCTTAGCTTCTCGTAAACTACAGGTAGTACCGTTGGCTACGTAAATAATTAGCTTTTAAAAATCCATTTTCTATAATCTAGGCTTGATTAAATATTTCATGCATGGTCGGATGGTCCTAAGAAAAATTTTCTTTCCGAGAAATCTACTAGAAGTAATAAAATGGGAACCATTATCTTATGAAAAACCTAGTAACAACGTATGAAAAATAAAAATACATTGCTCATTTGAAAAGAAAATACATAGTAGCATGGAAAAGAAAATAGTAGAATCATATATATGAAAAGAGGCCAATCCTTTCCATATATGTGACATGTGGACATTCTTGTGATTGACACATGGTATGATTTCTCATTTTCCTTTTAGTTAATAATTTTAATTAATCTTATTTATTTACTAAATATTTTACTTTATTGTAATTAAAACCACTTTATTACTTTAAAACAGTTTTATACTTCAGCTTCCATCTTTAATTTGATGGTGAAAAAGCAGAGTCTATTTCATGTAATGGTGAATAAACAAAGAGAATTATGGCAAGAAGATGTGTAATCTATCGCAAAAATATACATTTAAAAGCAATCAGCCAATCACTAATCATACAAGATGGAATTAAAAGGTCGGTATTGTTATTTGGGTAAGAGTATATAATCTTATACACAAATCTATAGTTTTTTCCAATACATTTTACAAAATACATAACAACAGAAAAATCCGCGCGTATGCGCATGCATTAGTCTAGTTAATTTGAAGACGAGTGAATGTAGATGATTAATTTGAATTCATCTAATGAAATAGAGAAAATTATACAAAAAGCCATTCGTCTTCATATTTCTCTAATTAGTTTTACCCATTTTCTAAATGGAGGTTCCACATCAACTAGTCCCATAACCAAGCTCAGATCGCGTTTAACTTCAGTTTTCCTAATAGGATCGCGTTTATCACCACAAGCCAATGTCTCATCAAGCCCTACAACAGAAGACCACGACGGTGTAAACTGAAATATATCTTGGCTAGCATCGGACCATTTTGGAATCGAACCCACGACTTCCCACTTGTTAGCACTCAAGTCGTACACATGCAACACCTTATTCTCCCTCAGCACTAAAAACTTCCCGTCGTAGGCCTCTACGTTCCAATAATAACCACACCTTTCTTCGTCCAGCACTATGTTCCGGATCCGCGTCACCAGGACCCACTTGGGATCATCCTGGAGGGCATAAATGTAAATTACCTCCTTCGTGGCCGATACGAAAGTTAACCTACTATCTCCAGCTGAGAATAGCATTTTCAAACTCACTTCCTGGGGGAGTTTGGTCGGAATCAGTCGTGCTTCCTCTGTTTTGGGGTTGAAAGCTAATATGCCCCCGTCCTCTCGTAGCCAGTGAAGAGATCCGTCCAAGTAAACAGGTTTTTTCATTCGGTTATGGAGATGGCTTGATTGGCAAGTAATCTTTGTTTTCGATTCTCTCCATGAATCTCCTCCGGCGTAAATCTCGAACTCATAGCTCGTGTTGTTGGCAATTTTCTCCTCGGTTAACTGGACGATTTTGAAACTCTGGGTGGCTTGATCAATTTGATCAACCGCGAACCCGATGTGCTTTCTGTTTTCCCAACAAAATCTTTCAACACTAACGTTACCCATTAACCTAGATAGGTCCAAGAATCGAAACTTCTTCGTAAGCGGATTTGCGACGCATAGGTCACGGCCAACGAAGAGTAGAAGAAGGCCAGAGCAAGAGCCCAGAATCTGACGCCACTCCTTTGAGGTGTTTTCGATTCTCTGACGTGACTCAGAAGGGACGTAAGGCTGGTAACAGAGCGTCTCGGAGCCATGAGAGGCGATGTTAAACAAACCGGATCCAAACCGAGAAAAGTATTCAGACTCAAAATACGGGTCTCGTGTATGCGTTTGGAGAGATGTATTTGTGCAACGCATCATCACCAGAGATCTTGGATCTAACCGGAAGAGAACCTTGTGTATAGGAGATGCTCAGGTAAGCCGTCCATAATCGGAGATATTACTAGTTTTTTTATGGCTCAATTGTGTGTGCATTAATTCCCTTCATTATATAGACACAGCATATACGTAACAAAAAGCAATTTCCAAAAGGTAAACGGATTTGGCAAGAAAGATATCTTTCTAGTAGAAACAGGAAATTTAACTTTATTTATTTTAAGATGTTTATCGGTTCAGTAGGGTTTAACTGTTACTTGTCTGAACTTGTATGATACGTAACAGTTGAAAAGCAAATTCCAACAAGGAAACGGATTTGGCAATGTATATTTCTAGTAAATAGGAAAATTTAATGAACTTTATTATTTTAAGATGTACTTATATCGATTATTATGTAAATCTAAATACATGATTTGGAATTTCTTATAACGTTTATAATTTTAATTTATTTTGGTGGGTCTTCTCGTAAACGACAGGTAGTTCTATGCATATAATTAGCTTTTATAAATCCATTTTCTATAAGCTTGATTAAAATTTCTATGGTCAGATAGTCCTAAGAATTTCTTTCCGAGAAATCTGCTAGAAGTAATAAAATGGGAACCATTATCTTATGAAAAACTTAGTAACAACGTATGAAAAATAAAAATACATATCCTTGTACGTACGTGGTCTTGCTCATTTGGCAAGAAAAATCAGAGCATGGAAAAGAAAATGATAGAGAAAAACGCATGCAAAGCCATCATTCATCTTCATATTTCTCTAAGTAAGTTTTGCCCTTTTTCTAAATGGAGATTCTACATCAATTAGTCCCATAATCAAGCTCAGATTGCGTTTAACTTCTTGTTTCCTAGGAAGATCGCGTTTATCACCACAATCCAATGTCTCATCAAGCCCTACAACAGAAGACCACGACGGTGTAAACTGAAAAACATCTCGTTCAGCATCGCACCATATTGGAATCGATCCCACGACTTCCCACTTGTTAGTACTCAAGTCGTACACATGTAACACTCGGTAGTAATCGCCTCTCGTCCCCCTATCCTCCCTCAGCACTAAAAACTTCCCGTCGTAGGCCTCTACGTTCCAATAACCAAGCCTTTTTTCGTCCAGCACTATGTTCCGGATCCGCGTCACCAGGACCCACTTGGGATCTCTGAGATAGTTACCCTGGAGGGCGTAAACGTAAATTACCTCCTTCGTCGCCGATACCAAAGTTAACCTACTATCTCCAGCTGTGAATAACGTTTTCAAACTCAGTTCCTGGGGGAGTTTGGTCGGAACCAGTCGTGCTTCCTGTGTTTTGGGGTTGAAAGCTACTATGCCTCCGTCCTCTCGTAGCCAGTGAAGAGATCCGTCCAAGTAAACAGGGTTTTTCATTCGGCTATCGAGATCGCTTGGTCGGCAAGTAATCTTCGTTTTCGAATCTCTCCACGAATCTCCTTCGGCGTAAATCTCGAACTCATATCTCGTTTCGTTGGCAATGTTCTCCTCGCCTAAGTTGACGATTTTGAAACTCTGGGTGGCTTGATCAATCTGATCAACCGCGAACCCGATGTGCTTTTTGGTTTCCCTACAAAAGTTTTTAACCATTAACCTAGATAGGTCCAAGACTCGAAACTTCTTCGTAAGGGGATTTGCGACGCATAGGTCATCGCCACGGAAGAGTAGAAGAAGAAGGCCAGAGCAAGAGCCCAAAATCTGACACTCCAAGGTGTCTTTGATTCCCAGACGTGACTTAGAATGGACGTAAGGCTGGTAACAGAGCTTCTCGAAGCCATAAGAGGAGATGTGAAGCAAACCGGATTTAACCCGAGAAAAGTATTCAGACTCAAAGTGCGGCTCTTGTGTATGCGATTGGAGAGATTTATTTGTGCAACGCATCATCACCAGAGATCTTGGATCTAACCGGAAGAGAACCTTGTGTATCAGGTGCTCAGATAAGCATTCCATGATCGAAGATATTCGATTTTTTGATGGCTCAAGTAAGCCGTCCATGATCGGAGATATTCGATTTTTTGATGGCTCAAGTAAGCCGTCCATGATCGGAGATATTAGTTTTTTTTTTATGGCTCAAGTGTGTGTGCATTCCCTTCATTATATAGACATACAGTAGAACCTCTATAAAACAATACTCGATAAAACAATAAACACTATAAGATAATAAATTTCTCCGGTCCCAACTCGGGCCAATGTAAAAAATAGCATAATGCGATAAGATGATAAGACAATAATATTTTTGAAACTCCTATGTAAAAATATAGTCCCAACAATAGGCTAAGATAATAATTATAAAACTAAGGCATATATATCTAAGGCAATTTAGTAAAATATGACTCCAATGTAGTTTGTCTTTTATGAAAGTTGGATTCTCGTTGGAGCTCATCTTGAATTTTTCTTATTGCATCAACAATTTATGGGGTCAAAAGTTGTGAAGAGTTTTCGAAGCCACAATTGATTCCTTACGTGTACCTACTTACATATATTTCTATAAAGTTTCTTGTTTTTTATAGAATATTTTTATAAAATAATTATTATTATTTTATCGATAAAACAATAACTCGATAAGATAATAAATTTTCAAAGTCCCAACATTATTGTTTTATAGAGGTTTTACTGTATACGTAAAAGCTGAAAAGCAAGTTCCAAAAAGTAAACGGATTTGGCAAGAAAGATATCTTTCTTGTAGAAAAAGGAAATTCTGAATAAACTTTATTTATTTTAAGATGTACATTTTTTTTTTTTTGTCATCGTTTGGGCCACAACGGGCCGGCCCACGAACCCATAATCCTCCCAATGAGGAAATTAACCCCACCCACATAGGGAAGGTAGAGTCGAACTCCAGACGAGATGGATGCAGAGGTGACTACCAATGGGCCACTTGCTCCTCTCATTTTAAGATGTACACTTTGCTATCGATTATATGAATCTAATTAAATGCATAATTCGGAATTTCTTAAAAACTATAGCTTATAATTTTGAATGTAAATTTATTTTGGTGGTGGTCCTCTCGGAAACTACAGGTAGTCCCGTTGGCTAAGAAGAAAACGGCAAAGAAGAGCTTCATAGCCTGCGCTGAAGTAAGAGACTGACACGTGTCTGCAGGGTTTGTTCTGGCGAGGTCGTCTTTGTCCTCTTGCTTTCCCGCTCTGCCTGATAAGGGGATTTTTTTTTTTTTAATTTCTCCACAATTGGTTCATATGAACCGTTTGTTTCTCGTGGAGATCTTCGAACTCGTTTAATGGAGGAATCGCTCGTCACACTCAACAATCGGCATCTGTTTGACTGAAATTCGCATGACGTTCCTCGGCAATTTCGTCCGCCGGAGACTTCGTACTCTATTGCGGACTTTTTCTCGGGAAGAACCTGACCTTCAGGTCAAATTAGGGTTTACTGATACTCTCTTCACCTTACGGAATTTCCGATTCGATGTTTCCCAGCTCAATCAGCTCCTCGATGGATCTAGTTTCTCGTTCGAAGGATTTACTGTTGACCAATTGGTCATTCACTTGTCCGTTTGGTCAGCTCCGGCCATTAAGATCGAAATTCGCGGTGTCAATGTCAAATTGTCAGCCAGGTATCTTCATCCTCATCGGTCAATTGTTATCTCGTGTATTGGAATTCGAAAGCAATAGCTCCTTAGGGTTTATCGGTTCTGTGTGTTTTTTCTTCTTAGAGAAACGGATGAAGGAAGCTCGACAAGGATGCGACCTTCATGTGTCACTGTAGCTGATGAGATAAAAAAAGTTCTCTCGTCTATTGATCCCGAGGTACTGTGAGAACGAAGGAGCTATTTCCCCAATTCTTAACTAATTCTGGGATTGATTTGGTTGTTTGTAATTTTAACTTTGTGGTTGATGTATTGCCAATTGCTGAATTTACATTGCAGGGATGCTTCGTACATGAAATTTTGGAGAAGATGCTGGATGGCACTTCCCAGAGAAGTAAGCTCAAGACTTCCTTCTCGAATCTTATTCTCAGGCATTTCCGAATTCAGATAAATGGTATTAATGTTCAAGTTTGCTTACCGGGTTCAAGTGACTGTGTTCTGGAAATCAATGAGCTGAGGAGTGATTCTGAGAATTCCGGAAATCGTAGTGTATTAAGGAGCTCAGCTTCAGCATTGTTATTCCCTTTGAGTCGTAGTTGCTTAACAGTTAGTGGGAATGGTTTCAAGATTGGATATAAGAGGAATAATGATACCGCTGACGTGTGTGCATTTGACAGCCTTGTCATGTTGATTACGCTGCATAATCTTCAGCTTACTGATCTGATCGTCCGCATTCCAGAGTTAAGCTTCTCGTATAGACCCAGTGATCTTCCGGTTTTGATGGGACTGGCGAAGTTATCATCCAAAGATAGCAGTTCTGTGAGAAATGGACGTTATCTTTGGAAAGTAGCTGCTGGCAGAACTCGCTTGATGATCTCACCTCACAGTAATTCATTCCAGAATGTGGCTAGTGTGGTAATCCTCTGGCTGCGGTATGTCAATGCTTACGAGTATTTGCTATCTTTAGGTGGGTACTCCAGGAAAACGCCTGACGAATCATCACTTTGGAAAGTTTCAGAAATTCGAACTGGAAGACGTAAATGGGAGATAATATGTGATATTGAGAAAGAACTTCCTGCTGAGGCAATCGCACGGGCGCGGAGAGTAGCCAGATACAGAACTTGTCTGAATTCTCAGAATGCTATTGATAATGATGACGAATCTTCCCTGGATGGCCACTTCAATTGTTTGTTTAAGATAATCTGGGTTTTAGCTTATATGTGGAGATTTATTAGTATGACACTCTGGTCTATAGCCTGCTTTCTCTCGCCAAAGAAACTGTTGACCCAAGAACTACAAACTGATGATTCCGAGCGGGTATCTCTTGAGTTTCATGCAGTTGTCAATCTTGGGAAACTTTCTGTCACATTTTATCCAGATAAATTGAGTTCAAGTTTTATGACATCAAAAGACAGTAGTAGACACAAGGGCTCAAATGCTGTCATTCTTTGCCTTTCGGTTGATGAGTTTTTGGTAATGCATACTGTTGGCAGTCTTACTCAGTGTTCGTCTGCTTCCTGTGGGAAACTGAAGGTTGAGTCCTCTAGTTTTAGAAAAACCAGTCGTTCCATGAAGTCTACAAAAGACCCCAGTACTTCTGCTGAGAAGCATATGCGTGAAGATGTGAAAACTATCCTAGAGATAAACCAAGCACAGCCAATCCTACTTTCCAACACAGATAACAACGTTGGCAATGATCGAAATGAAGGCACTCTGTATCTACAAAATCTTCTGAGAGATATGTGGTCGAACTGGAACAGCAATTGCGTGAAGTTGGATAAAAGCGCTTTAAATATTTCTGATAACCCTTGTCTACTCGTTGATATTAAAAGCTGCATAGCATATCGGGATGCTGGTAACCAAGATTCTGGGCTCTGGAAATGCGGCATGGTATTGGGAAAGTTGGATATTGTTTTAGATTATTCATCGTTGTTTTCAATCGCTCTGCTAATTTCGCAGACACAACAATCTCAGAGCTTATTGGTAGACGAAAGTACTGGAGGGGATCATTCAAGTTCTTTGGTAACAGGCGGGGTTGATTCTGAGATGGCTAGTTATGACGAATATGGGATCTACAGACGCATTATTGAACTGTCTTTGCATAGAGTTCATCCAGAGAGACGGATTCAGGTTGGCATATTTGTTGGTGGCCCCCAGGTCAAATTGTTGGTGGAGAAGGCTGAAGACGTGGATGCTTTAAGTGGGCAGAAAGATCTTCTTTTATTTGATTTCCATGATTTTGAGTTTGCTGTCTGGCCGACTTCAAAACCTGACGTGGTGCCATCAAGGATGTTTCAAGGGCCTGACAACACAAGATCAGATAAGCCTTTGCTTCAGGAGCTGGGGATAAGTGATACTGTGATTCCAAGTTATGAAAGATATGTTTCTCAAGGATGGAATTCGCTGTCCTCACACCTAGGGTTTTCTGGTTTTGATTGTTCTTTCTGCAAAATGGCGGAAAGGAATTGGAGTCAATTTTTTGTATTAAGACCCGTGACTATCTGCTTTTCATCCTTAAGGTGTGAAATTTCTTCTTATATCAAATTCCCTTTTTTAATCATTGTTGATATTTTGTCTTTTTTGCTTTTGATTGCTGCATATGTGTTAGACAACTAAGCTAAACATTGTTTTTGCCTCCTTGCTTGATACATGTTTTGGTTGTCATGTCATATTAGAATTGTTTGATCACATCATTTTGTGCTGAAGATTGATACTTAGCTGCATCTCCTTCCCGAATTATAGTACTGAGCTTAGCCTGCTTCATTGAACTAGTTAGTGTATGTCCATAAGATATTTCCAGGGTAATATTGCTTTGCGTGGCAGCTGATGATTACTGTTTCCTCTTTCCATGTGTTTTTGTATTTATACTGCTGTTTCCTTTTTCTTCTGTGATATTTTATCTTCCATCTCTCGAATTATGCTATAAGGTTATGTCAGTTTCATATACCTTGACTTTTCATTATGCAATTAAGTATTGTGATTTGTAGCAGGCATCAATTACATTTTATGCAACTCCATCTGAATCTAAGAGAACTGCAATCTATTGCAGAGAGCATGTTTATTCCTTTAGCGAAGCTGTAATGGGTTTCTCAACTGGTTTGGATGTGTCGGTGCTGGGACTGACTATTGTATCAAAACCGGATGACCTAAATGCTTACTTTCAGGTAAGAGAGGCTTTCTTGGCAGATCTCAGTTTTCATGTCTACAAATCTGCATAGTATTTTGAAAGTCAGTTTCCTACCGCAGGAGTATATTTTTGTTTTGGTTAGTTCATCTAAGGCTCAGATGCTCGGAAGCATAATTATCATATCCCTTTTTTATATGTGTGCCTTTTGTCCTTGCTTACATAGTGTCATGGCGTTAATCTTTGTCAGTAGAACATTTGATGAAAAAGGCTCTTAGTAATTGACTCTTCTAACCTAAGTTATTAGTTTCTGGATATAAACTT